TCTCTCCTCAATGGTCATTGTGTCAGCCTTTGCTATTACTGGAATAATGTTAACAGAGTGACTTAGGCGCTTCATAAACTCTATATCAAGCTGCCTGAGACTGGAAGATAAAACATAAAATAAGTGAGAAAAAGGCAGAGTAGAGTTACAATTGTGCTCTATTCAAACCTCAAAACTAATTAATATAATAATTTAAAATGTATTTGACCACTCACGAATGCCCAGTTGGTGAGATAAAGTAGATGCAACAGTGCACTCTAGTGTCAGGAATACGTTTCTTTCTGGTGATGTTCACTTCCTCCTTTAAAAACTTCTCAAACTGCTCATTAATATACTTGGATATTGGATCCCAGCTGAGTAAAAACAACAACAAAAAACAAAACAAAAAAATATGTATTTTATTTTTAATATTAACCAAATTACATCTATTCAAAATTAACGATAAAACATACCAGTTATCATTATTTATTTGGTCTCCAAAGCCTGGTGTGTCTACAACAGTCAGCTTCATCTTAACACCACCCTCCTCAATAACTGGAATAGGAGAATCATTATTTATATCTTTTTGAAAAATACAAAACCAAGACAAAATTAAATTTGCTTTTATTCCTTATTTCAATGCTAATCTAGTTTTTTAGGTTTTACCACTTGAGTTTAGAATTTTGGTTAAGAACACAAATATAGATACAATTTAAGAGACCTTTTTTGTCTTTGTTCAAGATTAATTTTACACATAATTCTATAGGCTATCTGAAATTAGTCTACAATCTACTGTACAGCCTATTATTGATTAAATTTAGTATTATTATTGTAGTATACATGATAAATAATAATACATGTATATCTAAACCATTTTGTTGAAAACATTTTAATGTGCCTATGTTATTACATGGTATTATTTAAAATGTGCTCCACTTACCATGAGACACTGATTTGATCTCAACAGTTTTGGGAATCTTCTCATCACGGGGCCATCCTGCACTCCTTCTGCTCACCTGAGACTTGAACAGAGTGTTGACCAGAGTGGACTTTCCCAGTCCGCTGTGACCTTGTGTGATCAAGGAGAATGCATGTGACAAACAAGGTCAAGTTTGGACTCCACAACCTGATTCACAAAACTCTTACCCACAACCATGATGTTAAAGTCAAAGCCAGTCTTCATGGTCTTCTTCCTCATTTGCTCGATGATGGTGTCAATGCCGATGTAGCCCAGCAGAGTGGATCCCCCTGAGGAGCTGTGGGTGCTGTGACCCCCATTGGGAGCTGGAGGGTGAGCTGCCCCATGGCCTGCGCTGTGCCCTATAGAGTGGGACGCACTGTGGCTGCTGCTGTGGCTGGGCCCATGACTCCCAATGAGCACTGGAATAGCACTCGGAGGAGGGACTAAAGGCCCTGTGCTCACAGCACTTGGGGGTACTGGGGGTGAGAAGGGACTGGACGGGGATGCGGCTCCCACATTTGGGGGCTTGGCTGGGACTGCAGGTTTAGGTCTGACTTCTGGTGGAACAATGTCGGACATGTCTGAAAAAAGACAAGAAACAAATCTCTGAAAATGTGGACCACGGTAGTCTTGTTTCAGTTCTAAGCAGAGATCATCTCAGGGGCTTCACTAATAAGGTCACAGTTTCTAAAAAGAGCAACATGCACTTACTCTTCAACAGTGAAGAATACTTGTTATGAGCCTCCATATAACCTGCCTGGACAAATCATGTAGGCCTACACTTAAATAGTGGTTAACATTAATGATAAGACAGCTGTACAAACACTTTCTGTAAGCATTCTTAGCACTATCATTGGATCTAATAATAGTGATAGGCCTATCTGAAATAAACTGTAGTCTTGTTACAGAACTTAACTGGGTACTATCATCATTGTATAAACCCAACGGCAGATGGTAAGAGTAACAGGCAGGAGGAGCTGGAGCCCGGGGCGGAGCACAGCCTGCTGCCAGGACCTTACTGTAGAGTCCAGTCTCGATCATGAAGCATCAAACAGGTCAGGGAAGCAGCGGCTGTCACATCCGCTTACTACACCCCGTGGTCACCGCTCAGCCCCCTCTCGGTCTGTGCCAGTCCTCAACCATCTCCTCTTTACGCTTTTGCATAAGATACACTGTGCAAGACATCAATTATAGGTTAACTAAATAGGCATTGGAGGGCTAATTACGGTGCGTTAGCAGAATCATCAAATGCGTTTTAATGTCATCGTAAAGAAAACCACAAAGGCATTCATGCTTGTCCCTTTTTGCAGAAAATATGGCATATGTAACATGTTTAGCCCTTTCGCAGCCCGCCTACCCCATTGTCCCACTCCACCCATGCTGTGTAATATGGTTCAGCGCTAGTCTTAGCTGCTCCCCGCTAAAGCTCACACTCACCAGCGCCTTTCCAGTCGATCTGCGAGACGAAGAATAATCACGGGTGAACTCAGAAAATCACGCGTGGCCCAGAATGAACGAAATAGATCCAGCATAGAGGTAATAATAAAAAGCTCGGTCATGTGATGTGTGTCTGGTACCTCTTCTTCCCTCTGGCCACGAGCCCCCCTTTTTCGTTGTCAAGACGACAAGAGGAGAGGGAGTGGGGAGATGCAGTACGCATGCGCACTAGGTTTACTTCAAAGGGACATCTTTCTGTCACTTGTTGGGCTATTTTTAGACAAAATCTTCGACAAAACTTTGGGCAGTAGTGGTTGTTGTTTCCCAGTGATTGAAACACGTACATGTTTAGCTTCACCACGTTAAAATACAGATCTCCGGCAGAAATAGGCTATATATTGAAAATGTGCATTATTACATTTGCTAAACATATAAATAGTTTACTCTCTAAACAACTCAATACCCAAGATTTCATTTGTTTGTTTTTTTCTATGTAACAATAGCCTGAATATTGAGCAAATTACAAGAGCAATCATTTTGAATTGGATTACTCACACTGTTTCTGAAATGTTGATGTGTTGTCCTTGTTCTGGTTTATTTTCTCTATGCTTTATTTGTGGTTGTTTGTGAAGTGTAGCCTCTCTGAACCTCTAGCTTTGATACACTCTGTCTCTACTGCTGTCACATCTCTCCTGAACACGCCTGGTACTGTACTGATAAGAAGCCTGCCTGAATTCCCTCTGCTATACTCTTTGACAACCCCCTTCCACCAACGCATTACTTAAAAAAGAGAGAATTCAAAGTGAAGGTGTAAAAAAAATAAACTAAATTGTAACACAATTTCTTGTAACTTGTACAAGAACCTACTCACCCTCATACACCGAACCAAGGCAGTACATGGTGACGTAAGGGTCCTCTTCTGTCACACAAACTGAGGTGCTATTGAGTGGTTTTGATAAGAGACTGTGGGATAAAGTTTCCTTATTTGGCTGTAATTGCAAGTTGTTTTCAAAACTCATGGATGAGCAGGTTTTATTCAATGGATAGTAGGCTTCTAAAGCTGGTTGCATTACATGTTGTGATTCAGTGTTTCTTAAAGGCATTCCTGAAAATCCATAAAAAGAGATGTATTTTTTATTATGCTCTGTGCCAGCTTTGTTGCTTGTATGTAAAAGGTCTTTTAGTTTGACAAAGTTAGAATCTGCTGCATAAGATTTCATTGTCTGGGGTAAACATGTCTTGAATTGATTTAATGTTTTTGCATGGTCAGTGTCTTCTCCTTGAACCTCGATGTGGCCTGACTGGCAGCTGCAATCCTTTGAAACAGTGTCTGACTGATGAAGTGTGCTCCCTATGTCCATCTGAGACAGTCCAGATCTCTCGGAAAACACACAGCTATGCAAAGTAGTTACATTGCCAGTAGATTGTACGGGCACTTTTGGGGAGGGAGTTCTTGAAGTGAAAGTATCCTTGTAATTCCTTTGTGGTTCCATATATAGTGACACTTTTGATTCAGGAGTGTCCATAAATTGGGACATTTTAGGAGACTCTAGTACTTTACAACTTTTCTGTTTGTTAGGTTTCCTTAAACTGGCATTCTGCAGATACTGAATGCACCTTCTGTGTAGGCTGGGGCTGAGATGAGGTGAGAGCCCCTCAAACATAGACTGTGATGTGCTCCCAGAAACACAAGTGGACCTAATCTCTTCAGACACAGCTCTGTCACTGGGCATGTTTTTTCTCTGTTTGATGTTTGTCTTAGGGCTCACTGGAGACTGCACACTTTTAAACTGAAGTCTGCTCTTTGCACCAGTTTTGATACCATCGAGTTTTCCTTGCAACACTGAGGAGTTCTGACATGTGGCTGGGGGATTACAAGATTGGAAAGTTTTCTTCTGACATCCTCTGCCTGTGGTTTTTAAATCTTTGTGGGTAAAAGTGAGTAACGCATCCTGGTCAAGAATGTCATTCGGTGACATTTTTGTATTAGAGAGAGAAATCGAACTTGCTTGCCTTTCAGTGAGCTGTTTGTTTTCTTGGCTCTGAGATGTTGGACTGGGTTGAAGTGTGGGCACCATAAGGCTGCCCAGATTTGCTGTCTGGAGTGAAGGAGCAGGGTCTTTAAGCTGTGTTGTTCCCAGATGCATTGTCTCAGACCCTGGCACAGGTTTCAGGTTGGTGAAGGGAACAGAGTGGTTCATATTGAGAGCAGGTGAAGAGAAGATGCTGGGTTTGGCAAAGCAGCGAGGTTTTGGTTTGATTCGTTGCGGTGTTGACGACCGTTCTTCATAACTTGTGGGCTTGCTTGGGGCTTGATTGCATACATTTCTTCTGATTGGCAAAAAAGATCTGCACCAAAAACAGAAAGCAAATATATGATAAAGATGGAGATTTTCAAACAACAAAAATCTACAACCAGAACATACCTGTCAGCGTTTGGCTCGTTTGCACAGACAAGTCCTCTCTCATCAAATGAAGGGATTTGAATAGGAGTCTTTTTGATGACAGGAGAAGACAGGGAGGCAGGTGGTGACAGCAGCGTCTTTGGCTGTCGTGTGTAGTCAGGCACTTGTGGAATCAAAGGGGTTATCTGGTCAAAAGCACTCATTCTGAAAACAGGAGATGATGAAGATAGCTGAGAAGAGACAAATATAATCAGTTTACTATATTATACTGCATTTAGAGACATAGACATCATTTATAGTCAGTGTTCTGCATACTAATTTTGAGTAACTGTGTTTTGTTTCAGTTACTTTTTAATTTGGTGGTATTCAGGAGTACAGTTACTTTTCTAATATTAAAGAAATACAGGCAGTACTTGATCGTACAATTTAGCCTTCAAACTGCACAGTATCAGTTTTGGTGAGGCATGTGGTTTTAGAGATAGGAAATGCATAAAAAAGTGAAACAAACATAAAGCTGTTTTTAATCCTATGTTGCATGTTTACACTATAATTTATAAGCAACCCTTTCTGAAAGTATTCTGAGTATTCAGAATACAGTACTCTAATTTAATCATATATTGGAATATGTTATAGTTGTGACTGACCTGCTTTGTTGTGTCCTGTAGTGACCACACTGAAGAAGTAAATTAAAATGAAATTGCTGGACTTTAACAGAGCAGTAGGAAGTGGTGGGTGGACCATGCCATTCTCTCAATTCCACTGACCACTGAGACTCAATTGTAGTACTCCCACTTTAGTCTGGCATTTTTAATCTAACTCATGGGAAAACACTCAGGGCATCCCAAAATACAACATATTAACAAACATATTAAATACAAAACACCAGGTCAAGTTTAACAGTTCAGGATTGTACCGTTTTATTTTGTATGAAGAAGGAAGCATTTTTTTTCATAAAAGGTATGACATGTTACACATTTCTTCACAATGCCATAGCAAAGTGAAAACATCAAGAGTACATACACATTTGGCAAATTACCAAATCTGATCTTGGTCCTTTTTGTTGAAATTTGGCACTTTGAATCATTTGCACCAATGGCACATTAACAAAGTCACTATTTACTACATTTTGGCCCACTGGAATATACAACCCACATGCTCTTTCATAGCAGCTGCTTCATAACAACCTAAACAGAAGAGAGCCCTTTCCACTGCCATACACCACACGATGAGAAGCAAAAACATACAATATATGTAAAGTGATTATAGTGCAAATTACAAATTGTATGCAAAAGTTGGCACAAGTATAAGATGAGATTTACAGAAGGTTACATGTTCCTAAAGGGCAACACATCAACATAAGCAATCTTCCAGAGTTGCCTTTATCTGCAAATGGCTTCACTGAAAAATCACACAAACTTTCACAAACGCTTTTGCTAATCTTTAAATCAGAAATAGTCTGTTTTAAAGATCAGAGACAAGTTGGAATGATACACTGTTCCTTCCTCCGTGATCTTCCTCCATTGTAAACTTTTTTTGTCCTGGTACAACCTCTTGACCAGATGGCCCCATTGCACACTCCGCCTTGCCCCCTTCTCACCAGTCATATCAGTGCGTTACTATCATCTTCTCTGCAGTTCACACTGGCCACTAGCGGGTGATGGCGGACAGTTTTGTTGTTCCACTTGTGGGCGTCTTGCAGCCCTGGTTCAAGGAAGTACAGGCATGCTCCGAATCCTGCCAGAACCAAGACGGATACAAGCAGGTAGAGGGGTACGAACCAGTCCAGAAACAACCAAGACATGCTGCAAACCACGAGAACAAGAGAGGATGTGTGAGGAACAGAACTGATCATACATAAGGGAGTGGATAAAGCAAACTGATTTTACAGTGCATTTATAGCTGAAAACATAAACAGTTGTTGCATGCTTCTCCTAAAAACAGTGCTATGGTAAATAAAGAAGTGTCTCTTACCTGTCTGTGCTGCTGAATCAGAAATCGTCCTTGCAGTTGGAGCTGTAAGTCAAAGCAGTCATCCGATTATCTCCAAACCCAGCAACACCTCGCCGCTCCCACTGTCGTACTGGAAACGCCAAAACGGACTCGCAGGTGCTCTCCGAGAAGCACAGGAGACAAGGGCTGCATGCGGCTTCTTCATCCTCCAGCTCCTGCTCTGACGTTCAAAGAAGGGGTGGGGGTTGCCATGACAACCACCTCGCTCATGGCAGAAAGGATGGAGGGTGTGGGAGGGAAACTTATATAAGTCTAATCGTTTTTTTGGGTGAGTGGTGGGAGAGCACGGAGTAGGAGGGGGGGCTAAGATGTCTCTGGATGCTGTGAGACTCGATATTGATGCGTAAAATCAATTCCACCCCATTTAACACCAAGGCCATCACACAGTTTATGTGACATTGAGAGTGAGGGGGGGGAGAGCATTTTTGGAGAGAGCAGCAAAGCTGACTGACGGCAGCTGCAGTGTTTTACACAGTCATGCCCCTCACTGGAGTCAGAGGAAATTTTCTCTGTTCTGGCACTTTCTGCGACGCTGAACACAGGGAGGCTGGCCTACATAAGGAAAAGTTGTCAGAGGATGTCATCCTCTAATGACGTCCATTTTTAGCACTGCATCAAATTCATCAAAAGCTTGAAATAGGTGGGATTTTACTGGTGGATTAGAGCAGCTGCTTATCTGGAGAGAGAACTATATTTTTTCCCCACAACTTTAACAAGTAAAACTTTTATAAAAAGTCAAAATATACAACTGGAAGCTTTATAAGGATTAGTTAGACATAAATATATATATACTATATATGGATTAGTGAGCTTTATAGACTTGTTTTGCAATTCATTTTGCATTAAATTATTTTCACCATATGTTCATAGCCATGGCAGAGGGTTCATTAGATGTTCACACATGTAAATGAGTTGCTTTGAAATAGTACCGTTAATACTAGAACAAAGGCACGAGAAGAGCAGTGTGAAGCACAACTCAGTGGTGCTTAAACTTTTTACTACATTTGTCCCTATGAATGTGCACTAAAGATATGTAAAAAATAAATGTATTTGGTGGAGCATCTTTTTCACGATATTATGTCAAACTCTGGTACACACTTGAGTAAAGATTACTGAGAAAGTTTTTTTTTTTAGCAATATCTTAATTTAGAGTGGATCTGTGCTTTGTTGACAGGCATACAAAATAAGCCTTGGCTTCAAACTTGGCTTTATTTGTGTAATAAGAACTCTGCGTACTATAATTAAGATGCTGTAGTTCTCCTACTGTGTACAACTGAACGAAAGAGGAAGACTGCGAGATGATACAACATGAGTCTAAAAGAACAAACACATAGGTAAAGTCGACTTATTCTCAATTATTATGATCCTGTGTATTTACATTTTGGTTAAAGTGAGATTTATTAACAAATTAAACAGTAACTTGGACAATACTCACAGGGAAGGAAAAGATAATTCTGAAAATGTGGAAATCAAATCAACTTTGTTTATTCTACTTACAACCTGGATATAACACTGTGAATGGCAGTTCAAACAGCCTCCTAATTCTTCTCATATAGGAAAGAAACACTCAGATGCTATGAAGTTCAAGAAAGATTATTTGTGGAGATAAATGCCTTTAAAAATAGAATAAAGGTATTTTGTTTCAACCTTTTCCCATCATTGTGTGTAATTCTTTATTCATAATTCTCATAATTCTCATTATTCTTGTCAACACAGGCCTCACTTGCTCATTCTCATTATATGTAACAATACTAGTTCACTGGTGGACAGGCAATTGTGTCTAGCTACCTTCTAGCGCCAAACAATATGTCACTTTTTTCATTTTAACAGCATTAGACTGGATCTAAAAATAGCCTTTCTTATAATCTGGCTGAAAGAGATGACAGTTTTGTTTGCAGAAACTTTGAGATGTATGGAGCAACATGTTGTGGGTTATTTAGATGGACATGATGATCTCCTTGCACTGTCACACACATGCACTGAAACAAACACAGAAGGCACACTTAAAGGAGTTTCTATAACATCTTAGAATTATTACGTTACAATGAACTTACATTTTTTTCCTGAAAGTGCTGAATTGTTGAAGCAAGGCTGTTCTTAAAAAATCCTTGTTCAGCTCTGAAGTTTAAATGTATTCATTTTAGATTGTGGAGTGTTCAAGATAAATAATACAGTAGCAGCGACTTACAGAATAACTAGGACACTAGCTTGTGTTTTTGAATACATTTCTAAGCTCTGCTCCAAACTCACGTGAACCACATGTTTCTAAAAACACAGTTGCATAGTTAATATTTTGGGTTTGGGGTAAAAAAAAAAATTGATGTAAAGGTAGTAATAGTTAGACTTACAAAATTTATTCGGAAGTCTCTAGAAAATGCAAATCCTGTACAGCAAAAAACAAAAAAGAGATTACAAATATTCTGAGCTTTCATATTACACAAATGAATCCACATACCTCCTTCAACAGCTACAAGACCTCTTTCCAGAAGTGTCTGTGCTGAATGTTTTGTAATAGGAATTGCAGCCAGCAACCTGATAAACAACAATCATTTGGTATTTATGAAAAAAATTATTGTTAACTCTCAACAGCAATGCATTAATAGTGACCTTTCAAGTGCCTGCTCATAAGTGTAAGCCTTTTTCTTCTTTGATGACTTTTCAAATTGTATCATCTCGTCTATCCCTTGTCTCATTTTAGAGGCTGTATGTTTCTATAAACAAAAGAAACAAACAAACAAAAAAAACATGTTAAAATCAGTGGTTTTCATACAGTGTCCTTTCCTTATTATTACCAGGTAGGTGGATTCTTTAAACTCACCACAAATTATCTCATTAAAAGGTCCTATATTATGCAAAATTGACTCTTGTGAGCTTTAAATCATATTATAATGTCTTTACCTCTTCAAAAACATACCTTCAGTTTTGTTTCATTCACACGTTTACGTAATCTTGCATTAATCTGTCTACATCTCCAAAGCTCAAAATGCTCTGTACCACCTTGTGATGTCACGAAGCAGCTACCTTTTACACCTTTTGTTCAGCAGAGATTGGCAATTCAAGGTCTGAATCATTCAGATGATTCAGGTGACTTCCTGGATTTCCAAACTACATCACAAGGTCGAACAGAGTGATTTCTGTCTGAAAGAAGAACACAACCAAAATATGGTGTTAAACATCTGTTAATAAAACAAAACACTCCAGGTATGTTTTGACGAGGAAACATTATAACATAGATCAGAAAATAGTGTAATATTGGCCCTTTAACAGAATTCAACAAAACATGAAAAGCATGCTTAGGAAAATTAGTGCATGAATTTGTGAGTCAAATTACTGCTCTTGTTTGTTCCTGCACAATATACAGTATGTCCCAGCTTGGAAAAGGCTCCGCTAATATAGTGATTTGAAGCTTGGTTAAATTTATTACTATTAACTATATTTCTTCCATCAGAATCCAGCTCAGTGGAATGACTTGAAGCAAATTAACATGGGCCATTTTAAATTTGTCTAATAGATCTGATCGGTGTGTGGCCTTGCATGAAGAGTATGAAATGCATTACTGCTTTTGTAACTAGAAGTTGTTCAGCATCCAGAAGGACAAGAGCTTCCACCATTTCTGGAAATAGGGCACTGAACTGTGGAGAGCATAATGTGGAGATTTCAGTTTCAAATTGGATGACAAATAAAACAAACTACAGTTCAAACTAATAAAAAAAACATCGATACTTACAAGCCCTGCGATGTGACCACCTACAAAGTAAAAACAGATACATTAGAAGCATGTGAAATAAAAGGTAATGATATATCTGTGTTCTCACTCACCCATACTGTGCCCAATGATGGACAATTTTGTCACCCGTAGAGCTGTGGAAGTTAATTTCACAGACCATCACCCAGAGATTTATGGTTTTATGAGCGCATAAACAGTTCCATCAAACTCCTCTTTTTATAGACCTCATATTGACACTGTAAATACAAGCTGTACAAACCTAATTTAAAATAATAAACATACTCACACTCTAAAACCCTGCGTACATCTGCCACGTGTGAAAGCAAAGTGTAGAAAACTCCTGGAGGATGATGTGACGATAGACCGTGGCCGGCCAGGTCAATAGCAACATATCTGCACTCTGACAACAAAGTGTGTAAAGAGGTCAAGACAATTCTGGTGCCTGATATTCACTAAGGTTGAAGGGTACATATTACACTGTTTTCTGATCTGTCTTAATAATGTTGTTTCCTCTTCACAAACATACCTGATACCTGTAGTTGTGTTTTGTTTAATTCACAGATTAAGCACACAAACCCTGCATAATTAGTGGTTTGTGTGCTCTCAAATCAAAAACACAACACTGTCATGTGATAATACAGGAAGTGGTCCACTGTGTTTTTAAACTCCATATACCCTCACTAGAAACATTTGGATCTGATAATGTGTGAATGAAACAAAACACAATTCTAGGTATGTTCTTGATGAGGTAAAACATTATAACTTGGCTCACAAGAATCAATTTTGAGTAATATCCAATATTTTTGATACACAGTAGAAAAGTTTTGTTTGTACAATAGAGTTTGAATTAATGCGAAAACTATTTAAAACAGGATTTGAAATTTAAACTTGGTTGGTCCAACACAACTCTATGAATAAATTGGTACATTAACCTTTTGAAATAGCCTACAAAACCTTTAAAATAAAAAAAAAATCTTCATAATTGCAAGCTCAGACTAATGCCCTTGTGGAGATAAGTGTTCTCTCTCTGTGCACTCTGTTACCCACTGTGATATGCACTAACAGCCTACAGCCATTATCACTATTAGACCTGTCACGATAATTACTATATCTTAGATTTAAGACTCAGACAAACTTTAGTGATCCACAAGGGGAGTTGCTAGGACACAGTAGCTCACACATCACATTATAATATTATAACAAAGAGAAAAAATAATAAATTCTTAATAAGGAGCAAAAATAGCAAGAGACAGGTGTAAAAATAAGGTGTAATTATATAAATAAAAAATAAAATAAAAATAGAAATACTGGGAAGTAATAAAAATATCTCATTTATACACAAATGTAGTTAATATGATTAACCGAGATTCAGGAGCAGGACCACGCCTCAGCCGCCCTCTCCTCTCACCAGCGAACCACAACTCACCTCGACCACGCCTCGAATTTCCCAGAGGCCTAAATGTAGCAGCCTTTCCCATCATCCTAGTTTGTCTCGGCTAACTCGACCCCACCCTCCCATTCCGTATTTTGTCTTTCAGTCATAAGACCCCTACAAGGGGGGTCTCGTTCCGGCTGGGCCAATTGCAGATTGAGACGGAGCCCCCACCCATAGTCTCAACCCAGCCATCTCTGCCTCGCTTCATACATTATCAATAAACTTCTTCGCACTATGTCATTGTTGGCGTGGTCCTAGCTAGTGAAGAGGTAAAAAGAACACCAGTGCAAAGATGATATGATGATTGACAGGACATTGGGTAATCTGTTACATAAGGGTGAATTGTTCTACAGTTGTATGAAGTATGGTATGAATGTAGTCCTGGATCTTTCACTGTTTGCGCGGAGCTGTAGGACTTTGTTGGAGAATGAGCTCCTCTGTCCGCCTATACAGGAAATATCGACTTATCATTCAATATATGAAAGCTGGAACAATATTTTTTGTGATTCATTATGCAGCATCTGTACATTTTCTTTTCAATAATTTTGAGATTTTTGTTATCTTTGTTGTAATATGATACGATGTAGAGGGTTGATCAAGTAAAATTCTATGACTAATAATTACCGTTTCTTTCAGCTATGTATTTGTTGCAGCTCATACATTTAAATGATACCATCACTTTAAAAATAGTTTACTCCGATAATCTTGCTTTATTGTTACTGTGTCAGTGACAAAAATAGTTTCAATATTATCATTTAGCATTATATTTCTCAGTACAGTATTATAATATTTGCTTCATGCTTCAGAATTTGTTATCTTGACAGGCTAATCCTAACCCTTATGTAATAGATAACCCTATGTCATGTCAATCATTATTTCATCTTTGCAATGTTTTCCTTATGACCTCTTGTATATAGCCAAGATATATTTGTATTACTATATTTCTATATTTTATTTGTACTTGTGCATACACATTTATAAGATTATGCCTTGTTTGACACCAGTCTCTTGTTATTTTTGCTACTTATTTTGAATTTATTATTACCATTTATATTGTTGCTCTTTGTTATTATATTATATTGTGATGTGTGAGTTACTGTGTCCAAATAATTTCACTTGTGGATCAATGAAGTCTAAGTCTAAGTCTAAATGACTTTCCTAGGGTGACCAGACGTCCCTATTTACCCAGGGACAGTCCCAGTTTTGAGCCCTGTGTCCCCTGTCCCAGCAGATTTATCAAAAACCATTGATTTGTCCCAGTTTTACAAGAAATATCCCAAGTGTCCCTATTTTTGACCAATCTGATACCTGCCAACAGTAAAGAGTAGAGGTGTGCATTGCCTTGAGTCTGACGATACAATACATATCATGATTCGCTTGCCACGATTCAATATATCACAATATATCCTGATACTAAAACATTGGATAATATATTACAATTTATCAATAATTACTTCCAATAATACAGTCAACTACACCGTCACGAGAACACAATTGTATGAAATAGAAGTTATAATTTTTTTTTTATTATCGTGGAACAGTGAATGTAACTAATGAATTTGAGTGAAAAATATCATTTAAAAGATCAATTCGGATCCATTTTGAATCGATTCGATAATTATGTAATGAAGTTTTTTCTTACACCCCTCGTAGAGAAGGGGTGTGCAAAAATATTGAAATATCGATATATTGTATTGTTTAATGTGATGATACAGTATCGATATTGTGGGCTGCTGTATCCAATATATTGCCAAAAGTAATTTTTGGTATATTTTACTAAATTATTTTGTTTAAGAGCTACAGTTGTGTTGACATTTTCACCATTTTGAGGAGTAAAAGGGGTGTTTATCACATTAACTTTGCACAAAATTAGTGGACTTATTATCACAGCAATGATTTGCCTTTTTTCACTGAACCATATCGAATCGATTTGAAATATATCGTATCGAATTATACTGAATCGAAAGTGCACTGCATCGAGGTATGTATCGTATCGGCAACGTCTCAATGACACCCAGCCCAAGTAAAGAGACGCAAACGCCGTCATTTGTTTAGGAAAAATACAGAAACGCTGCTTAAAAATGACCAAAACACAAAGAAAATGTAACAGTTTTTCCTTAATTGCGCACTCGTTTCACAATTTTATTATTACCAATCACCACAAACGGGGGTGTCCCAGTTTTTTATGTTGAAAATCTGGTCACCCTAGAGTAGCCTAGTATCTATAATAAGAGTTTTATTTACTTCCATGCCTAGAGTCTACTCATAAAACGATAATATAAATGCTGAACACTACTCTGTAATGTTGATAGCGTAACAAAGAGCTTACCTATTGGCAGAAGTGGGACGAGCGTGTTGAAAGAGCCACAGTTGTCTGCCCAGCCGTGTAAACACAGCACAGTATAACCATGTCTGGGACCCCACACACGACCTCTGATTTCTCCCCATGAGACCGGGACAAACAGCTCAGCAACTGGACACAACATTGCAACAAATAGTAACTTCAATCGTTATTTTTCATGTGATTTTGCATAGTGCGTCACCTGGTGTAGTCATTGTAATCAGTAATGCAAAGTGCTGTTCAAAGTTTACGCACAACGATTGGGCGACACACTGGCAGAACACTTCCGGGATCGTAAGACGGAGTTTGGACCTTTTTTCCATAAAATCTTGCAAATGACTTAAAGCAGGTCTTTGCTAAAATATTAACTACGGAGAGGCCTTCAGAGATCACTGACCTGCCACAAAACATTTTAGAAATTCCTCCACAGCAGCAGTGCAGATGTATCAAAGCAGAAATATACCACACCAGAAAAAATAACACATGTTCAAACATCTGACATTTTACTCTGTAGACAAAATATATTTGTGGACAAACCAATAAGTACAATATAGCAGTAAAAAATACATAAATATTGTAGTTTAAAGGTGCACTGCGTAACTTTTTGGTTGGGGGTTCTGTCAGCTGCTTGTTTTCCATTGCTATATCATTTGCACTGCCTGGAATGTTCCACAGTATGACATTAAACAGCTATTTTTTCGATTTATTAAATTACATATACATCAAATTACACTTTTATGGCCCCAAAATGCCTAAAAAAACAGCAGTCTAAGTCTATTTTGACAGAGCGGAGTCACCTCTCCACAGATCTGACCTTTAACTTGGTCTGGTTTAGTCTCCATCAAGATAAGAGAGGTGCAATACCATACGGTGAAACATTCCAGACAAAGTAATAACATTTCTATGACAAACGCTCCACCAGAAAAGGTTACACAAAGCACCTTTAAAGATAAAACAATGATAATCTTGTATTTATGTATTTAATTGGTTTATTTAACAGGGAAAGCATACATTAATCAACACTTCTGTAAATGTACCAGAATTTTTCATCTGCAGTGTCTGAACAAAACATAGCAATAAGTACTATACAAAACAGTGAAATTATACAAAACAATACAGTTAAAATGCAGTGGGAATACAGATATTAAAGACCATTAAACACAATGTACACAAGTCTAGGGTGACCTGTTTAACCAGGACAGTCCCAGTTTTGAGCCCTGTCCCTGCATGTCCTTGTAGATTTTTCCAAAACCAGTGATTTGTCCCAGTTTTATACAAGAAATAAGGTGTCCCTATTTCTGACCAAGCTGATACCCACCCAAAGTAAATGGGGCAATAAATTGTAATTTGTTTAGCTAAAATACAGAAAATGTGCTTAAAAATGACCAGAAGGCAGAAAAATGCACGCTGTTGAGCAGACAGGAGTCCCCGAGATTCAATGGTTCAATGGTGGAAAATAATTTTTAACGTGTATTTTTACTTAAGTACTTTTTTCATGTGACACTTTTACCTTTACTTAAGTAACATTTTAACTTTGTATCTGTACTTTTACTTAATTAACAAAATTGAGTACTTCATCCACCACCGCTTAGATTATATACTGACCCAAAACTTCAAGAATGGGCTTTGTCACGTGCCCTTTTTACAATTTTATTTATACAAACCAGCCCGGATGTGTCCCAGATTTTTTTTTTTTATCTTGTTACCCTACACAAGGCAGATAGAGAGAAATAAAATACACAATAGAGCACAGTTGGGATTGGAGAAGCATGTTCAAGTAATGAATACAGGTTTGATGTTATTAGCCAGTTCTTCTGTTTGAATAGACTGTAAGAAGATAGGTCTCTGATGCTGCCAGTTCCTCTCCTGAGAGGCTGTGATAGAAAAGGTACTTTGACAGAATGCAGTTTTCCTCAGGTGAACTATGCAGTCTCCACAGGCTACTCCTTCCAGGGAGTCATTGTGTGGTGGCTCTAATACTGACAAACTGAGAGTGGAAGACATGGCCATGTATAATATTAAAAATTAAACAGGACACAAGAGCAGAACAGGCATTGTTAAAGAAGTTTTGACCCCTGCTGCATAACCTTGTAACAAAGGCACAGTTGTTAAAACGTAAGTCCCGCCTTTCTTAGAGCGGATTGGCCCATCAGCTGTATAATGCTGACAAACTGAGTGAGTGGAGAAAATGAGATGGCCATGTATAATTCTGCAAATGACCATGGCCAGCATTGTATTGTAGATTGCACTCTGAACCCACATTAAAATATTCTTTCCAAAAATGCAGTGATTAAAAAAATGCGCAGATGTATGAAATAAAATGGTTGTTAATTCTGGAAAGATGAATCAAAATCAGTATTGAACATTCAGTAGGTTTACAAATGTATTTTTTGTTTTGTTTTGTTTTTTTACAGCTTGGGTGTTTCTTTCAGCACCAGCACATTCGACTGTAAGAAATCTGACACTAATGGAGCCACGTATTCTGGGTTGTTGAGGTGGACATGATGATCGCCGGGGACCGTGACCACTTTGTGCTGGAGAACAAAAGACAGCAACATTATAATCTGGGAATAACATAGACACAAAATAACTGTACACAATGCACTTGAAGCCTGTTTGTTTTCACTGCATTTGGGGAGTAGATCTCTCTAGGTTTTCCGTTTGATAAGCAGCACTGACCAGGATTCTGTATGTAGGTCAAGTTAACAGCAAGAAACAGTGGCTGTGTGTACAACTTTAAATATTACCGCTACTTAAGCATCTGCTCTCCTGTCTGTCTAGCACACAAGGAGCTAAAAATAAGTGAATACAAACAAACTATGAACAAACTGCCCTCACATTTCTGTCTCTGAAGCCTTGTAGAAGAGCTGAGAATTTCTTCTGCTGTTCTTCGGAAAACATTTTCTCAAAGCCATCTTCTGCTCTGAAAAGAGAAAGTTTAATAATATTTTTTTGTCATTTTTAGAAAGCATGAAAATTTTGCTTAAAATACATGTGTGCAGTCTTACAGAATAACTAAAACAGTGGCTTGAATTCTTGACTGCATCTCTAAACTCTGCTCCAAGCTGATGCGGACAATGTTTTTCTGTAAACATTAAGAAAGTAAAGGAAATATGTGAATGAATGAAAGTCCTATATTATGTAAAATTGACTCTTTTAGCCTTTAGTCATGTTATAATGCTGTCACCTCCTCAAAAACATACCTTGCGTTGTGTTTTGTTTCATACACACATTTGAGTAACCCTTTATTATTAGTCTGTCTACATCTCCAAAAGCTCAAAATGCTCTGTTCCACCTTGTGATGTGATTAAACGTTGGCCGAGTTAACATTTAATATTTTAACATTTTAGTTCAGTAGAGATTGTCAATTCCATGACTGAAATTATTTATATTATTATAATGAAGATGTATAGAGTTTAAAAACACAGTGTAGTACTGAGCGATTTCAATTTGAGAGAAGAACTCTTAAATGCCGAAATGTTAGGGTGGGACAAAATACAATTTTCACGAAACAAGACACATCACGAGAGCGAGATGAGGTCCACGAGAACGAGACAAGATGAAATTTTAACATATTTGTAATAAATAAATAAATAGTGCAATCCATTTCACAATTTAGGCTTCACTATTTTTATTTATTTTATGTCATACTTAAACGGTCATTGTACTGCAGCTTTTGGAACTACAACTTCTCAAATTGCATAACTCACCAGCTCTTAATCCTTTTTTTTGTCAAGTCAAAGGTAAATTCAGGAGCAAAAAATCTCAATGAAAACGAGATCATCTTTCTCATGTGTGCACAATCTTGTGGCAATTTTGTCTCACAAGATCTTGTGGCACGAGATCTTGTCCCATCGCTACAAAATATGCAGGGTTTACGTGTTAAAACATGTGTGAATGAAACAAAAAACAACTCCAGGTCTGTTTGTGATGAGGAAACAGCATTTTAACAGAGATGGGCCCTTTAAAATTCTGTTACAAAAATGATTCTATAACTAATATCAACCTACCAGATTAATTCGGAAGTCTCTAGAGAATGTAAACCCTGGAAATTCAAAAGCAAATATTAGTAAAAAAGTTAGAATAATTTTCAACAAAAATAGAGAAAGCACACCTCCATCTGTCTTAACTAAACCTCTTTCTAAAAGGATTTGTACAGACTCGTTTGACAGCGTGGGGTTGGCTTCTAATAATCTGAAAGAAAACAGATGTAGACAACAGTAACATCACAAAACTGTAATGACTGATTATTTATCATTACCTTTTTACAGCCTCTTCATATGTATAGATCTTCTCTTTCTTCTCTTCAGATTTCTTTTCAAACATCAGAAGTTCCTCTATTCCTTGTTTCATTGCTTTAGCAATTTCTTTCTAAAAGGAGACACAAAAGGTAAGAGGAAACCCAGATGAGTCACCTTCATGTGATATCCATTTGGAGTTTGCTGATTAATCGACCAGAACCAGAGCCAGTCGCACCACTACACCAGAACATATTATACATTATACATATTATACATATTAGGCTTTATTAGTAACTATCACAAACGAAGATCATGATCGTCCAGATGTTTACTATAACCACAATATTTTCCTTTCATAGACACGGGTCCACTGACTTCCTGCAAAACTGAGCAACAGATTTTCATTTACATATTTTTATTTTAGACAAATGGCTCTGCAACTTTTTTTTTTTAACATTTGTGTAGCTGTTGTTGTATTTATTCCTTTTTATTTTTTTCAAGTTGAGTTGTGGGTGGGGATAGGATTCTGAGCACATAAACCTCAAATGCAGGACAACACAAGATTACTGAAGCAGGCAACTCCCAAGTCAGCTTATAATGAGGGGAAACCATTAAAACGTGGCTAACCAAAGTTGATTTAAAGTTTAGTACAAATAACTTGCATACCTGATCTGTGGGCAGGAACCCAAAAGAGTCCAGCAGCACGACAGCATCTACCATTTCAGGATACAGGGCACTGTACTGTTGAAAAAACATAACAGTTAACACTATGTTTAACTGGGAGGAGGACGAGGAGAAATATGAAAACATTACAGGCCTCACCATCCCTGCAATATTACCACCTTAAAGACAAAGAAGAACACATAAGCATAATGTAACACAGCCATTTTAATCGCTCGCTGTGTTTTAAATCTTCACTCACCCATACTGTGTCCTATGATGGAGAATCGGTCCCACTGGAGAGCTGTAGGGAGCAATTTCACAGATCATCAACCTGGCAAGTTCACATCTTACCACCAAGATTGTTTTGAGGACAATAATACTGCAAATAGTGTAGCACACAGGAGCAGAGTAATATGCTAAAATCAATAATATTGTATTGTATAAAGTAACAAATATAACTGCAATTTGAAAAAACACACACACCCTTGACGACTCTGCAAACATCCACAACATATGAAGGGAATGTGTAAAAAACTCCTGGAGGACGATGTGACGACAAACCATGACCTGCCAGATCCACTGCCACATAACGGCACTCTTGAAAGAAGAAACATGCATTTTTAGTGAAAAGTAATAAAACACTGCTCTACTGACACTTACAATAATGCATGGTGGGAGAAGGTTTTAACCACTGAATCCCTTTCACCTCTGCACATTTTTTGATTAAGAATTGATTTTTCTTCAGATTTTTTTCCACTTAAAATATCTAAAATGTAACTGCAGACTTCACTGGACAAATACAAACAAATACAAAGGAATATAATTGTTACTTAATGTTTTATAAATTTAACAGGTTAAAGAAGACAGATCATACTTTTTATTGGATATCTGTATCAAAATAACTTATTTTTAGCAAACATGTGTCCATTGTAAATTGCGATATTAATCTAAAATGGCTTAATAATAGAATAATAATAGAAACAGGTCCATGGTCTTCCTGTTCGGCCCCTCCACTTCATAGTGCCATTTCACCAACAGATTTTTATTTTCTTATTTTTATTGTTGAAAAATGGCTACAGTGCATTTTTTTTGTTTTGTTTTGTTTTGTTTTTTACCATGTATGACCTAGGTCTGATTTTTAATTTTTTAAAATAATCAGATGTAAGAAAGGAGAGTGGGTGGAGATAGGGGGTAGGTGAAAGCAGAAATTCTCTGAGGACACAGGCCTCAGGACAATACAGGATTAATCCATTGATTTGAAATAGAACTCACAGTAAAGAGTAAAGAGAACACAGGTATAACATGTTTAAAAGCTAATTGATTTAACAATGTCACATTTAAGGTATAAAGCAGATCTACCTTTAGGCAAAAGAGGTATAAGTGTATTGAAGGTCCCACAGTTGTCAGCCCAGCCGTGTATACAAAGCACAGGACGGCCATGCTCAGGACCCCAGACTTTCCCCCGGATCTCTCCCCACGGCACAGGCACCGACAGCTCCGTGACTGGACCGGACAAAGCATATGAAGGTTTAATGTGAAGGTGAATCTATTGGACGGCACTTTACGCTTCTCAGTTAAGTTAGTTGTAGTCACATTTACAGTCTATGAGCGGTCACATTTACCTGCTTGTTTCACGGTGCTTGTCGTGAGATATTTGACACTTTTCAAAGCCTGCATCACATTAATCAAAATATGTGTTAAATAAAAGCACAGTTTGGTTTACAGCAGCGACAGCTCCACGGACCGGATCGTGTTCCGGTTGTTGTCAGGCCACGCGGTGTGACTGAGTGATGTTATTGGCTGAAGCAGAAAAGCGGATACAGCGGATGGACCAATCAGCTCTAAGAAGGGCGGGACTTACCATTTAACTACTGTGACTTTGTTAAGTTTATGCAGCAGGGGTCGATATGTCTCAGGACAAAACTTCTTTAGCCATGTCTGTTCTGCCCCTGTGTGTTATTTTATTAAAAGATAAAATATAATTAGGCCTATATTTTGTACTATTTCGTAGAAATAAAATACATAGATTTTTCATGCAAATACTGTAATTGCATAAAAAATCTATATTTTGATCACTAAATAATAAGCTTGCCTATTATTATGTACTCATGTAGTTATTTGAGAAATAATGAATAGATATTGGCTCATTGCCAATTCTTCAAAGTATCTGTTTTTGCACAATTTAATGCAAGCGTTTAATATTTATATAAAAAATGTTTTTATTAAATAATATTTTAGAAATGAAAAGATAGGGGTTGTCCTTAATCATGTGTCCAGATTAAACAGGGAGGTGACATTTGGAAAGACATGCACCGAGAGAAGGAGACTAATGGGAGGGAGCATAGATTTTGGAACCAGGACAATGGGACCCAAAGGTATAAAAGGTTGGTAGGTGGGGTGAAATCAGGTCAGGAGCAATTTGGAGAGACACTGGATTTACACTTTCGGTAGGTACTTTTTTAATGTACAAGATTTGCAATTGTAAAATTATATTCAAATCTTTTTTGAATTCAGACTTAAAATTTATTTGTTTTTCATGCAACTTGTGCCTCTCACACAAGCTCCGAACTGACCATATTTTGTATCTAAAAGCTGATGTTTTAACAAAGTCATCGAGGGCACCAAACTGTAGTGCTGTCTTAGAATTTGGATAACAGAGTTAGCTGCAAAAAAATAATACATTAGTAATCTGTTTGTTTCTGTCAAGGTCATGGCTGACTTTGACAACGTTTTGAAATGCTGGGGCCCTGTAGAGGCGGATTACAGTGGCATGGGAAACCTGGTGCTTACCCGGTCAGTCAGAATTTCTAAGATAATTTTATATTACTCACAGGACAGTAGCAGTTACTTTCTGTTTTATGGACAGTCTGTTCACAGAGCACCCTGAGACTCAGAAGCTCTTCCCCAAATTTGTGGACATCCCTCAGGCAGATCTGAGCAGCAACGCTGCCATCTCTGCTCATGGGGCCACTGTCCTGAAGAAACTGGGGGAGCTGCTCCAGGCCAAGGGGAACCATGGTGCTATCTTAAAACCTCTGGCCACCACTCATGCCAACAAGCACAAGATCGCTCTTGGAAACTTCAAGGTAGTTACTGTTTAAATTCTAAAATTACAAATGCAGACATAAAATTAGGTCTAATGAATTAGGCATGGAATTATAAGCTCAGAGTCAAATGGGATAACACTTTTATAGTTTGATGATTTGGTGTATGAGAGTTTCACATGTAAGGACTACATGACCAGGCCAGCTGTCAATCTGCTTTGTCTTTTCAGCTGATCACAGAGGTCATTGTGAAGGTGATGTCGGAGAAGGCAGGTTTGGATGCTGCAGGACAACAGTCTTTCAGGAATGTGATGGCGACTGTCATTGCTGATATTGATGCCAACTACAAAGAGCTTGGTTTCTCTGGCTGAAGGCAACAAATCTAAACATTAGACACACAGCTGTGTCCATTGGCAATATATTCTCTTAGTAATAGTAATAATGCTGTTTGGTTGCCAATTTTATATTCTCCTTCTTTTAGTGATAATAATCATGATGTTTGATTGACAATTTTATCCTAATATTTTCATGATTAGATCACCATAAACCTTATAAACATGCATTTCAAATAATATACCAATAAACTGCATCTTTCTTTCAGTTCATCTTTCATTGCCTTGCAATCTGTAATTATGTTCCTCAATAAAAATAAAAAATAAATAAATATTATTAGCATAATGTGAATCTGTGTTTAATAGATGACTTGGAGTACTGAATGAACAAAGGGGGGCTCACATCTCTTTTTTATCATTTAAAAATAAATAAATAGCAGAAAAAAAATCTTGGAGAAAATCATATCTTACTGGGTTTACAAAGTCTATCTAGCCTTTTCATATACTCTCAAATTTCTCTCTTGCTGATCTTAAAGTAGTCTATAAGTCAGTTTATAAATGCATACATCAGCTTCCTAGTAATACTCCTTTCTCTTAACAACATTATCCTAAACATCTTGATATCATATAAGTTATTTTTGTAGTGAGCATCAAGTTTACATCAAGTTTATTGATACTTAACAGATGTCATCAACATTCCCTGGGGGTCTGATGCTAATGTAGGCACTGCTCTGTCTGAGGCTATGTTAGACTTTAATCTGAGCTTTATTTCAACACAATCAGACCAAAAATAACTGAATTGTTTAGAACTATAACAGGTGAGCTGGTGAGCTGATTTGTGCTGTTAATTTAGTCTCTCTCAAATAACATTACAGTAGGGTGACCAGTCATCCCTATTTACCCGGTCCCAGTTTTGAACCTTGTGTCCCATCCCAGTAGATTTATCCAAAACCAGTGATTTCTTGCAGTTTTATATAAAATGTTCCAGGTTTCCCTATTTTTGACCAATTTGACACCCACCAACCGTAAAGAAGGGGATGGATTGTCATTTGTTTAGTTAAAATACTAAAAACCGTGCTTAAAAATGACAAAGAAAATGCACCAACAGAAATCCCTCATATTATGACAAGTGAATATGGACAATGTTATGCACTCTTTTCACTATTTTATTTATAACAGTTATCCCAACTCGGTGTGTCCCAGTTTTGAATTTTAAAAATCTGATCACCCAACATTACAGCATGGATCTACACTTCCATGCATTACAGTCCAAGTCACTCTCACCATTTTGTTGAAAATCAAACACCAAACAGGACCATAAACGATAGAATTGATCACAGGCTTCTAAAAACGTGCTGTTTAAATGCATTGTATTTTTTCTTGAGTTTGAGTCTATTTTTGACATTTTTGCTGTATGCATTGTGTTACCATGGAAACTGATGAACATTCCTGCATACAAATACATATAGAACACCCCCCAGTGTGAAGTATAAATAATGGAGGTCAGCACTACTTTATCTACTCTAAGCTTTTGAACATTTGTTATTTTATTTCCATGTTTTAAATTGCTCATTGCTTCTATCACAAATAAACTCCATCTTAGCACTTAGTACAGGATACTATCAAGTGATTATTTGAAACAATTTCAAGCTGCACTTTCAAAGAGACTTAAAGTCACAGATTTTTTTCACCACTAAATTGTCCCCATTTAGCCTTTGAACTAGAACTCCTGGTGGATTTCTATTTCCTTCCACCTAAAACAGAATGAGGGACTGCACGTTTGCTAAACTTTTTATTTGTGCTACTGGGCAATAACTCCTTAGGCACAGCCAAGGCAACCCCCCTTCAGGGGTTCATATCCCTTAATGAAGTACATGTACCAATGCAATCTATTTAGAAAACTAACAGGTGTCTAAACTGGTCATATGCTGCGGACGTGATCAGCCTCAGTGCTTAGTATCGGTTCCAACATCCCAACCCAACCGCCATTATCAAGCAACCACACTGGTGTCACCTTTCCCTTTCAGCCAAATGGGTTACCAGTAGTGCCGTCTCAGGATAAATGTCAGTGAACAAAAGTTAGTGGGATCTGGATTATCATAAACAGTGGCAGATCTGCAGTGTCATTGACATGCAACAGTCTCACCAGGTCCTACTTCCGGAAGCTGACGCACTACCATTACTATGTTAGTTTAACTTGTATCATGGACTCTTGCCATGGAGATAATCTGGTGATACTGTGGGTCTGAGTGTGTGTGCATGGGTAGACGTGACAACAGGCACAGTGTCTGCAGTACAGTTACACACCCTGTCTCCTGAACCACTGCAGACAGCTGAAAAGAATCTAAATGAATGTTTAAAACATGTTTAACACAAATACAAAAAATTTAACTAAAAATATTTTAGATGTGTTATTTACATTTTTGATATTATTTGACATGGCAATTTCATAATGAAAAAAAACTTCTTGTATATATCATGTTTACTATATTACATTGAAATTAATTACAAAAAGTTCAATCAATCATCAAGTGCTTTGATGATTGATGTAAAAAGCTATTTTGTAAAGTATATATAAGCAAAAATAGCTGTGATAACTGGACTGATCTGAATTAAAAATTAATGTTAACACATTTGTCCAGCACAAGACACCTGCACACAAAAATCTCAGATTTAATTTAGGCCTGAATAGGCCTGTACCCCAGGGATACTTATCCCAAACCCTCTGAACAATCTGCATCCAGAAAAGCGGCTTTCAGTGGCTGTCTCAAAACCACAGACGCAGAGAGTAAGACAGTCTAACAGTTCCTTCAAAACAATAAATATGATAATATTTTAATCAAAGCTTGGTTGATCGATGTCTGGAGGCACAGTGCAGCGTGTCAGGTTGGACAGGTATAGGGCTGTCGCTGTGGGAACAAGGCCAGCAGACACCTTCAGGATGGCCAGGAGCCTCTTTGTCGCATTGGCCACACCGTCTGGACTCTGGAAAAACAAACATGACAGGATTTTGTCTATTAATGTCATGTCTGCACGTGTACAGAGATGAGATGAGTTACTAGCCACTGGTAAAACTGTAACTGTAATAAAGCAGTTAGAACAAACCTGATCCTCTGCACACAGCAGCGGACACTGGAGGGATGCAGCAAGTTTTCTAACAGCGTCCAGGCGAGCTGAAGGGACTGAGGCATTACGAGCTGGTAAAATACAACACAAAACACACAAATTGTTGGGCTTAATTTTTCAAGTTGTAGCTCAAATGTGAAAACTTTACCATTTGTGACCATGAAGCAGACTTTTCCAAGAAAATATCCTGGATCCAAATATTTCAGTGAGGCCTCTACAGACTGAAAACTGAAAAAAAAAGATTAGAGCATGTAAAAGAAATCTAAAATAACAACACTCAGCAGAGTTAAAATAAGACTACAACAAACACCAGCCAATGACTGTTTAATGTTGCTTAATGTTTATGTGAACATTACTGAATTGGGAGTTGATGCCAAAATGTAGATGATAGTTATTAGTATATAAAGGTCAAATATGGTTTAAATCTACCTCAGTTCTGAGGTCAAGTTGATAATAAACACAACCAGATCTATCCGTGGACGCCCCTCTTCATTCTCCATAGGAAGAGGAAGATTCTTCGCAAGTCTCCTGTTGGAAATAGACACTCAGTGTCAAGGGTCACAGGTGATGAACTATTGTGTCCAAATATAGACAATAGTAGGAAGCAGACAATAGTAGGAAGCAGGTCTAAAATAAAAAAAAAAACAAACAAAAGGAAAGTGATGTTGCATTATTGTTTGTTTTATAATTATAAAACAGTTCTACTTACACATTAACAGTGACACCAGGCTCCTCAACAAGGACATTGGCCAGACTTTGCTGAAAAAGCTCCTCACTTTCCACAAGCTGGAAAAATAGTGGCGTGGGGATGTACAGACAGAGTCATGGACAGTGTTAATTGTCCTGAAACTCCAGGAAACTCCAGCTTTGACTACGTGATTGTTTTTTTTTAATCAGATAACACAGCGTCATGTAAAATCTCCATATGGGGTCATAAGATCTATTCTGAAAATGACCAACAAATGTAGAGTGCTTTTGCTGCTGGTAGTTACAATACGACAAACATATTCAAGATTTTCCTTTCTTGGGTGCACAAACACTTAAGATACTTTAGATACGAATAAAACATTCACATGCCCGTTGTGTTATTAAACCGTGCATCCCTAACCTATTACTGTGGTCACATCAGTTTACATTTGAGCAGTCAAAGGACGTAAAACATGAGTCTAGTCTTCTGAGCTGGCGATGCACAGCGCCTCTGCCACATTTTAATCAAATGTATTATGACGGACACTTGACTTACCAGGATATTTGCCGAATTTAAAGCGGGTAATTTACTAAAAGGCTTTAACATAGCCATATTGAAAAGTCTCAGATACAATTCAACCCGACAGTAAACAATTGACCCGCACACTCGACACACTCTGGCGCTTCTTTTCCAAACGTACGTATGACGTCAAGACGCAGGAGTGCTTTACGCCCTCTGGTGGACGGTTATAGTCAGTGCAAAAAAAGACAGTAAAACAAAAACCTATTACACGCAATAGAGGCAGAAGTTTTACTGATGATAGGTTTCCCCAATACATCAACATACACAGTAAAGCACTGTATTTAATATTTCTGAATTCAGCATACATTTTGCCGATATATGCATAGATGTCACAAATTTAGGGAATTTCAATAACAAACACAAGCTCTTACTGGCTCATGCCTTAACAAAAAAAAAAAAAAAGTAAAAAATATTAATGGGACAAGGCAAATATAAAATGCAAAGAATATCCTTAAGTTCTCACCATCCATATTGAGTTTTACATTATCACATTTCTAACTGAGTGAAGTTTAAAAACATTTAGAGGTCAATGTCGATAAGTAAATTAAAAGATGCTATAAATGGTATGACAATGACTCAGGACATTTTGCAACAAAATAATTTCAAGTTTAGACTCATTTCTTTTTCATTTTGCAAAGTTTATGCAGTTTTAACAATGCCAAGCTTGTAACACACATATGCAGAATGCATTTGCAACAAAGAGTCTCCCTTCATGCCCCTTATTTTACTAAACAAATAAAAGTCAAAATGAAAAACTTGGAAGAAACATGTTCATATTTCTCCAGATTCTCGCTCCTCTGAACTGGATCGCCTGTCCCGCTCATTAGACACAGATCTTTCTTTATCCCGCGTGCGGCTAGTGTGCGGAGAAGTTGACCTCTCTGCGCTGTTCCACTCTGCATAGTCTGCTGCTCCCTCTTTCCACTTCTCCTGGGACACAGAGCGCTCCCTTTCTCTTGTATGAGATGAGCGGTCTCTTGAAGATCTGTCACACATTTACAGTACAAACTTGGCAAATAAATATATTAACCAGGGGTGTCAAATTATCGCGTTAATTGCGATTAATTAATTACAGTCATATTTAGCGCGTTATGTTTTTTAATCGCGTTAATCTCATTTTTAATCTCTAACTTTAGTGTTTCTGTATGCGAGTTGCTTTATTATAAAACCTGTTTTTATGTGTTGTTGGGACAACAACAACACAAACACACACACACAAAACACATTTATACATTTTTTTTTTATTTCGGTAATTCCACTCATTGCCGGAAACCCGCACAAAACGTGCGCAGTAACAGCGATGTAAACGTCATGTTAACGTTGGCGGCGTCAGTCGGACAGTGGACGCGGTCGAAGAGCCAGTAGAACAGAGTCAGCAGTGCACAGGTAAAAACGCATTCGTGTCTTGGAAATTATTCTCCCGACGTGAAATATAAAAGAAAATAACAAATATAATATCGCCTACAACTTAAATGTCACTGGTGAAAACAACCTGCATAGACTCATGATGTCTGCACTACTGTCCTATAGTGACCTGCCACATGAGGGGACACACACACACAAACACACACAAACACAAACAAACACACACCTTCATCATAGTCATTAACCTCAGAACGCGCGGACCACGTTTCCTTCCGTAGTTAATGCGCGGACACCGACGTGCTCCCGTGAGCCGCGTGTGGACCGTGTTTTCTCGCGTACGCTGCGTAAACTGCGCTTCCTCCTGTGCGCCTCTAAACCAGAACTAACACCAAGACTAAAACCAGGACTAAACCAGTCCAGGACTAAACCAGAACTAAAACCAGGTCTAAACCAGGTCTAAACCAGGTCTAAACCAGGACTAAACCAGGACTAAAACCAGGTCTAAACCAGGACTAAACCAGAACTAACACCAGGACTAAACTAGGACTAAAGCAGGTCTAAACCAGGACTAAAACAAGGACTAAAACCAGTGATCGCATATATAAAGCATTTCTCTATTAATAATATTTTTAATATGGTTAAGGAAAGACTGGACTTTTTATTGTCTTTAAGTAGACAAAAGTTATTATGTTCAGATTTCCTCGTCTTTGCTACTTTACAGCAAACAGTTTCTTATTCATGGAGACTTGGGCTCAACAGCCAATTTGGAGAGATTTGTTAAACAATAAATGACTTTATAAAGTCACTTTTTTTAATCTATATCAGTCTTTTGATCTGCCACAATAATGTAATAATGAATTTAAATGAAAATACCTCAAATTGAAGGCTTTTCTCAGCAATTTTTAGGTGAGATTAAAATTAGATTAATTAGATTAATTAATTACAGATCATAATTAATTAATCTCTCTATTTTTTTAATCGCATGACAGCACTAATATTAACAGTAACAGGTTAAAACAAGTAAACTGGACTATCTTCAAAATATTTAATTTAGTTGTAAGGCAACTACACAATGAAATATTACACTCTTTTACCGGTTTGTAATAATTATTTTAAACCTATTTCAGAGCAGTAATGTTATGAGAGTTAAGTTTTCTTTTTAGTGGCAGTGACAGGTACATCCTGAATGAATGGACCAGAATAAAATATTTTGCATCACTTTCAATACTGCTTTGTCTCATTACCTCTTTCTCTTGTGCTTATGAGAGTGTGAATGTGAGCGATGCCTGTCCTTGTGTCGATGTCTCCGTTCTCTGTCCCGATCTCCACCTTTTTCCCTGGAACGGGAAGAGCGGTGACGCCGGGAATGATGAGAGGATGAACTGCTTCCATCTCTATTTACAAACAAACGATGTGGCAATTTAGCAATGCTTAAAGTGATTCAAAACCTTTACAAACATTCAAATAATAATGAATTGGACTTATATAAACACATAAAAAACTGTCATCTGGACACTTATAAAAACAATAATTTCCAATAATCATTCACTTCAATCCATCAGTGATACTTCTGTAGTCACAGCTGCCCTGGAGCGCACTCATGGGCAAGGCAGCCAATCTGCGCCATCAGTCTCCCGACCAACAGCAGCACTCTCACCATTTTCATATTAGACAAGGTGGGTGGTGTGAAAAACATGATGAAGCAACCAGGCAAAAGTTGAGTGTGGAGCTGTGCTTATCCCATTAGTCATCCTTTTTAAAATTTAAATTTACACACTGAACTCGCTAGACACACAAGCCTGTGCTGAATCAAAGTTACACGTCACATTACACAAAATTGCTGAGTCTTTTAACCAGCGTTCATCTTACCTGTACCGGTCTCCACTTCTAGATCTTGACCTGAAATGAAGCCAGTGTTAGTTTGTTGCTGGTACAAAATGTGTGCAAATGATAACTGTATGTGAACATCTTTGTACCTCCTTCGCTCCCTTTCTCTTTCTCTCTCTCGCTCTCTTTCTCGTTCTCTTTCCCATTCACGCTCACGCTCCATCTCCCACTGTCGTTCTCTTTCTTCCTTTTCTCTGTCCTCACGTCTTTTTATTCGCATCCTTTCTTGCTTTTCTGCAACAGCTTTCTGTCAAAAAAAGTATTGCATGAGAAAAGGTTAAACGAACATTTTAAAATGCTGTCAGTCAACACTGTTCAATTTAAAATCTGAGAATTGTGTTACCCTCAGCTTGTCCAGTTTCTCACGTATTTCAATAAAACCCAAATGCAGTTTGCCACCGAAGTGGTCAGCCAAGCGACGATCATTGTCATGAAGACCCAGATAGGCAGAACAGACTTCACAGACTCGTAGTTTTTGTTGTTGAAAGCTTGAGGCGGGCATTGAATTTCTGTAGACATCCTGCAAAATAAATATTCAAACTATTAACTGCAGAGTTGTCAGAATTAAAATGCCTCAAGTTCTATAATGGATAAATCAAATCACTAACCTCTGCCTCTTTTTTTAAGATTCGGGTTTTCTCCACTTTTTCCAACAGCTGTTGGGCCTCGTCTACATTCCCCTCTCCTCCCAACTGCTCCGCTTTGGCCAAGAGCTTTCCAATCTCTTCATTCAGCTCATGGACACGTTCAGCCTGATAAAAGGAAACAATTTGTGTACACAGTAGATTAGTAAAGCAAAGAGCATTATTGTACAACTGAAAAGTAAGCTCATCACCTTAGCAGCTACTTCAGCACTGATTTCATCTTGGGTCTCAGCTAGTCGTTTTTTGGCCATCTCAGTCCTTCGGTCACAGTCATTAATGAAAGACTGAAGGTGCTCAGCGGCCTGGAGACACACAGAAATAGAAGAAGTCAGAATGACTGTTGAATGAAAACATGGGCAAAATACTTATGATGGATGAAATAAACTTACATCCAGCTCAAAAAAGTATTCCTCCTTCTTAGCAGCAATTTCATAATCTGCTCTTAGAGCCAGATCATGGACTTTCATACACTCTCCCAGATCCATTCTCTGGGGAAAAAGAAAATCAACCAATTACAGAATATAAACATAACATTAATTGAATCAATTAATATAAAATAAAACTCACTGTGCCCGACAGGATGTCATGGGGACATGAGTCTAAAAGGTGGCTTTTGCAGACTCGATCATCCGTGAATTTTATTCTCTGTCTCATTGTGTCTCCTTTTAAATGAATGGAAAGAATTAATGCATAATTAGAAATCAACAAGAGTCTAGACAAATACATAAAACTTAAGTAAATAAGGCTCCACATCACCCACAGAAGAAGACAACTTGCCAGTTACTAACAAATAAGAGTAACATCGGTAGGCTGTATTATCTGGTCATTTAGGTAAACTGTTGACCGTATCGGTACAACATATGTTACACAAAAGTAATAATAATAAGTGATCAAGTGCAACTCTGCCATCTGACAACAGGTAATAGGGCTGCACAATTAATCGCTATCGAATCGAAATCGCAACTTGCGTTGATGCAATTATTAAATGCAAAGGCTGCAATTATGTAGATGATAGAATATTCTCTGCAAAAGAATCCTACTTTTATACTTTTATCGCAAATCCAGTCGCAATCGGAATACTTGTCAGAATAAACCCAAACAAGTATGTTAGCTAACGGGCTACAGGCGAGTTTGAAGATTGCTAATCTGTACGATAGACTCCTGTTCAGAGAAAGGCCAGCATCAAGACACTAAACCATGGCCTAGGTAAGACTTCTTACCGTCTCTTCCCGTCCCCATGAGCTGGTCCAGCATGGCTCGCATCTGAGCATGGGCCGACATGTTTCCGTATTAGCGCCGTGAGTCACCCTCACTCAGCTCTCTCCACATGTAAGTGTGTATCCGGAGGTCTTTTGGCGTCTTTCACCGCCGCTCTGCTTCACTTTAGCAAACAAGACAAGCACCCAAGTCCGTCTGCGTTGCTGTGTGTCACATTTGAATGTAGTAGTGTTTTGCAGCCCCTTACAGAGCTAACTCAGAGCCATGAGCTAACAGAGCTAAATGTCACTTGTGGCGGCGGCGCTGCTGTTTAGCCTGGCTAATCAAGTGAAGTCTGTTTAAAACTGCTCCCAGCTCGCAGGTCTGACACCATTAACCCAACCTCAAAGCGCATTAGGTTACAAAAACTCAGGTCGGTGGTAAATAAAATCTCAACACAGTAGAATTTAAGTTATTTGTAGCATGTTAGCATAAAGTTCAATCAGCGTCCTCTCTTCCGCCTTCCCCAGCGGTGCGCGCGCGACACCGGACTGTGAGCGCGCACCCGTGACCACAGGTCTGGTTCACACCACGAGAGTAGCAGGCAGAATACTGGTGCTTCATATTATCCTTGGGCATCTATGGGTATGGGCATGACAAGTGCAAGGAAAACACATTTAATGACTTCTCGACTGGACTACACTTGCCATGTTGCCAAATACCAATGAGAGAGATGACCATGTCATCCAATACTTGCACTATGTATTGTTTTGATTGGGGGTCCGCCTCATCTGTGGAGATGCCACAGTATGACATTCAATAGCTCTACATTACATTTATTCCATTACAGGTGGTTTTATAGCTCAGAAATACCCCAAAAGCACGCATTTTTCTGACTGTGAGTGGGGTTGCCTTTTCATAGATCTGATCTGTTACTTGGTCTGATTTGGGCTCCATGAATATAGAAATCCCATACTGTGAAGCATTTCAGACACAGCAATAACATCCCCATGGAGAAAAGCATTTGATGGACCGTCCATCAGGAAAGTTACACAATGCACCTTTAATTACCATTTGTTTTATGTTTACAATTTCCAGTAACCTATCAACCAGTATTCTTTCGTTTTGTCTAAATCTCCCTTCTCATCCCATCAAATCTTTATTGCAGAGTTGAGTTTTATTTATTGATCAAACACCTGCTGAATGAGGGAGGGCAGCATTAAAATACACCCATCGATACAAGACCCTCCCACATTCGTGTCAAGAAAAAATGGCGTCGAGAATACTGCGGGTCCCTGTACTCAGGATTTTTAACCAAAATTCAGGCAGGCTGGCTCGTAATGGCGTGAAAACACCAAACATATCGAGGGGAACGCAAAGCCGAACTGCAGTGTCAACATCATCGGGTGGTATCCTTCCCAAACCGGAAAAAGTAAGCATTTATTTCAGTCCGAGCGAACCCCAAACCCTAAAGGCAAACACACATGGGCGGGGTTGCTTATTTGACGTTGATTTTGGCCAATAGAAAGACAAAAATGCTACCGAGTGGGTTTATCTGCCAATTGTTTTGCGTTAGTGTACAGTTTCAGGAAGCAGAATGAACCACCTCTTTTATGTTATAATTCACCACTGTTGTCCATCGTTTATAGTGTTTCCTATAGGTTTATAATAAGACTGTGGTGGCACAAGTGATCCATATCTACATCATTTTATTTAATACGGTATTTTTGTATATAAATGTCTCTTATTGCCGCTACTGAACAAAACCACCGATAGAAATGGTTACTTCTATACGTTTATGATATCTATAAGCATAACCACTTTAGTCTATTAGCCTAATATTGGGAAACACTGCGTACAGTAACGTGTCCAATCCAATACACATTTACTTTAAGAAACCTGACCTCTCTGAAGTTCATCTGTTCCAGGGTGTGTAGGCAAGGGCCAGGCCAGCATTGCTCAATCTAACAATACAACACACCTCAGCGTAAAGTACTCTGCTCTCATTGTTTTGTGTTGCACCTTTTTGTGGCCTGATGACTATCCAGAAATGAAATACACGGAGCATTTGACATATTGCATGTAAAGGTCATTATTATTATTATAACTCTGTGTTTTCAGACACCCTTCGGTCTTATCCGAATGACGGCAGTGGTGGTGCCTTTCCTGTATGTGGGAACTCTGATAAGCAAGAACTTTGCTGCTCTTCTGGAGGAACATGACATATTTGTCCCTGAAGATGATGACGATGATGACTAAACCTGGATAGCAAATGGTACAAGAAATGTCTGTGCACAGCCCGGTTTAGTGCAGAATAAGAATGCTGTTTTTTACATTACTGCTGGTGGTATTGATACATAATGACATGTCCTTTATTTATGTTCACAGGTCCTTTGCATTATTGACTGAAACCAGCCTACACAATGCAAGACAGGACTAAATGCATCCCCCTACCTCTAGTCATCTGTCCTTCGCGCTACTGCATCATACTTTAAATTAACTTACAATGGAATACGTGATCATCAAAAGATATGCATATCGCTGTAATGTACTGTATTTGATTATGTTGTTTGCATGTGTTTGTCTCTGTCAACTCAATAAATGAGTTGCCTCAAACATTCAAATATGTTTATTCTTTGGTCGCTTGTACATTTCAAGGATGTCTGGTGATGTGCAAACATATTTAATTAAGTTTTTTGTTCTTCCTCGTACAATGCAGCATTTGCAAGTTTTATTTGTGTTGTGAGAGAGTTTTTCTCCAGTTGGTTGCGGCCTTGTGTGGTGGTCATCTGTGCATAAAGGCCCTTATAGCGCTCATAAGCATCATCTTTTTCCTAGAAATGAAGATGCAATATGTTTTGAACAGGATGCACAAAACATCATGTGAGATAAACAGAAAACATTGGTACCTTTGTAAGAGATTGGACTTCACTTTGTAAGCAGCTGATTTCTCGTCTCAGACACAGCACTTCATTTTCTTTAGCTTTTAGAAGAATCTAAGTTTGAACACGTGTCTTTTGATTAGTGTAACACTAGGTGGCAGTCTTACTGCACAGTGATACACAACAGACAAGAACCAACATGCACAAACACGAAAGGAGTGTTCATAATTATTACCTCTATTTGTGGACATTTTTCACTGTTGCCAACAGGCTGCTTGTCTGACTTCTGGCCTGTAATGAAGCAACGCATCCGGCTAATCTCTTCAGCCAGCCTGGCTCTTAAGTCCTATAAAGACATATTTATTGTTTAATGCACATTTTACTGCTAGTGAAGTGTGTGAATTAAAAGTCAGAACCTGGTTCTCTCTTCGTAGTTGCTCAAGGTCCCTCTCCATGCGTTTTAGATCGGTGTCTCTGCTTTTGCCATTGATTTCTGAACGGTTCAGCTCCAGGCACTTTTGGGAATATTGCTCAGACAGTGCATCCAACTCACTGTTTAATGCATAGAGTTGTGACCTAATACACAGAAATGAGAATATTATGAAGAAGTTATAATAAAATGTGCATATTCTGTTCTTTTCACTGTCTGCCTTACACTTTCTGCATTGACTCCACAGCTCCTCCTCTTAAGCCCTGGGCCTTTGTCACTTGCTCCATTTCTCCCAAGTGTGTTGCTTTTAATTTCTCCACAGCTAAAAAGATTTTATTGGGTACAGATAAATTAAAGCTGAATGACCTAATATTGTGTTTGTGTGTCTGTATAAAGGGTTGTTCAAATTATCTGGTAAAGTTGGTAATAGTAGTTAAAAAAAAGCATGTGTTCTGTGTTATGAGGCTATATCAGTGTCAATAACATTTTGACCCAGTAGATAAACTACACCTTTAGCAGCTGCCTGAGTTTCTTCTTCAAGCATTTTGTCCCTCTGCTCCTTCAACTCTCTTATCTCCTGGTCATGTCTCTCTTGTAGCTCTTGTAGTTCCTTCTGATGAGCCTTTACCATGGCTTCCAGTTTGGCCCTACAAGGGGCTCCGGGCCCACAAGGACTGTCTACTTCTATTTCCAAGGTGGAACGTTCCTGTTTAATATTTTCCACCTGCTTTCGAAGAGAGATGGCCTTCAAGGGAAAAAAAACAAGTCATTGGTATTTAGAATGATAAAAGTAATTTACATCAAAAGTGTTACGCTCACCTCCTTTTGAAGAACCTCCGCTGTGCTCGTCTGACTGTTTTGAGCCCCATTAGTCAGTGAAGAAGTGTTTGAGACATAGTTATTTGTTGTTTCTGCAGCAGAGACAGTTTCAACAGGCTCTTCATGGGTAAACTGAAGAGTCTGGGAGTCACTGGGAGAGTCAGGTGATTGTTGTGAATTCGAATGCAAGGTCCCATTTCCAATAAGAGACTGTGCAGTCATGTCCCGAAATGATAGCCTTTCAAATTCTGACCATTTCCTGTTGACCTCTGTGTCAATCGTATCAATTACAGGTATAGGTACACTCCCCTTTTTCAGCTCCATGGAGTCCCACCTGCTGCACATTTCATTAAAGGAAAGTCCCTCCTCAAACCACTTGTTCCTCTCCTCCAATCGTTTGGCTTGTTCCCGATCCCAGCCCTCTCCCTCTTCTCTTTGGGACAGGTCCTGGTGGGAGTGCACTGCAGCAGGTTCACGTCTGGACTCCTTCCCCGTGAACTGAGCAGAGGGTTGGCATGGCGACCGTCGCTGGGAGAGAGGGTCCTCTTTCTTGCTGCCGGACTCTGATTGGCTGATTCAAAATGAGGAAATGAGAGAAGGATAGTGTTACACATCAGAAGAAATATGATAGAGTGAGTTCACTACAAAAGGACCACCCAGCCACATTGCCTGCATCTCTTCAAGGTGCTCAGGAATGCAATGATAATTATAATATGTTAAAGGTATACTGGGCAAATATTTATTTTATAATTTATAGGCTAAAATTTGCTCAATGGCTATTTAGTATCATTTGCATGTCCTATAACATACATTGTGTTACAATGATTAAAAGGTGCATTGTGTAACTTATCTTGTAGAGGGTCCGCCACCTACTTTTCTCCATGGAGGTGTTATTGCTTTGTCTGAAATGTTTGATAGTATGGCATTAAACCTTTCCAAACCATCCCAAGTTACTGGTCAGATCTGTGGAGAGGTCAGTTAGAATGCCTGTTTTTCTAGGTATTTTTGAGCAATAAAAACACCTATAATTGAATAATAGCAAGATATACCTGTTTAATGTCATATTGTGGAACATTTAAAGCAAAGTAATGATATAAAGAAACAAGATGGTGACAGACCCCCAACCAAAAAGTTATGGTGCACCTTTTAATGCATCCATTAAACACAAGCTCTTGCTCAATATTAAATCATACTCACTGTGTCTTGTTCTGGATGGCCTGCTTTAGTAACTTAACCCAGTTCCGTCGTATCCTAGAGGTCATAGCGGAGAGAGTGAACACTGCTTTCTTTGTCTGGAGGAGATCAAAAGACAGAGCCAAGATATTCACACTGTTAAACAGGAAGCAGCCACACATGTAATTGATGTGGAAACAGAGGTAGTGTTTGAGTGGCCATCTGCCTTGTGTGCAAAACAAAAGAGCCGAGAAATACATACTTGCAATTGGAACCCATAGTTTTTGTCCACATCACAGTCTGACACATCCAAGCAAGATCTGAAGTCAATCTCTCCCTCTGGATCATCAGACTTGATTAAATCAAACATGAATGAATAAACTTGTTGTTGAAATGTAGATTAGCTTTTCTAATATTAAAAATGTATTACCTCCTCAGCTTCAGAATCTCTGTAGTACCTCACAGAAGATTTCCCTAAAACAAACCAGTGTTTCCTCCACTACAAAAAAAAAAGTTTTGTTTTACCAAAAAATTTAAATCAGCTGGATGGATTTAATTTAAGCTATATGTGCAAAATGTTCAAGCATATTCTGCACATATTAGATGCATGGGGTGATTGTGCATGTAAGCTTACCTTTCCATGCTCATCAAGAATGGATATCCACCCCTTTAGGTAAAAACGATCTGAAAGAAGAAAATGAAAAGCCTACGTGAAGCTTGTTGTGGTGTAACTGTTCAGCATCAAAACGGAAACAAATCATCAGCATGTCTGTCTAGTCTAGAAAGAGGAAGCATTAAATATTAAAAAAGTGACGTAGATGAGGAAGTCAAGTATGCGTTTTTCAAAGTGATAAGAAGAAGAAAAAAGGAAGCACCTCAGTTAAGGTCAAACACATGACACTCACCAGCACAACATTATCCAGGGCAAATGTCAGAAATAAAAATGTTCATTATATAATTATTGTCACATAAAAATATTTAAATAGGTACATTGTGGTATTGTCTTTATAAACTTTGCACAATAGTTATGCTGTTGCGTGGAAAGTTTTATTACATCCCTAAATGTTAGGTTGGCTCAGCAGTTTAGCCATGATTCTGGCCGCTGAGACTGCAAGATGCCTGGGAAAAAATCCTCCTTGCACCTATTCATAGAGAAGATGAATTGAATGAACATGGCCTAAAACAGACTGCCAACTAATGGCTTTCAGTACATTAACTTCAGTGCATGTGTGAATTTCAGTGAACTACTTTATGGTGATATTATGAGTGTCCCATTTTGCTCCAAATATACACCACTTGTACAGAGGCTCACCTGTGTCTGTGTCTGCTCAGGAGCTGCACGCTCTCTTGCCTTTGAGGATCTGTGTTTCCCATTGAGGTTGTCTGAACTCTTGACAAAAACAATATCTTACATGAAAAACATTATCTTATGTAAAAAACGTGATCTTACATGAAGAATATTATCTTACATGAAAAACATTATCTTACATGAAAAACACCATCTTTTTACCATTTTATCACATAGAATAGCCTATGTAACATTGTCATTGATGCGTCTTACCTGTGAGTGGACTGATGCCACTGATTGTCTCCGAGACGCTCCATTTTCATAGTCCCTGCATTTTTCTCGCCTGTCTCTTCCTCTCTCTCGTACTTGTCCCCTGTCATCTGTTTCATCCATGTACCTGTGTACCATGAATACAGATGGATGAGGAAATATCAGAAACTAAAAATATCAAACACATAAAAAAGATCTTATTTTCATGAGATAGAGTTTACCTCTCACTCCTGCTTCTTTGATTTCTGCATGGACTGGGGCTCTGGTTTCTCTTTCTAAGTCCGACATATTCCTCTTCAGATTCCAAGTAAATCTTTGGAATATCAGCCAGTTCGATGTAGTCATCAAGGGTCATTCCCACCTCACAGAGAAATAACATTTTCAACATGGATACCAGTAATTATTATACACTGTTCCATTTGCAGCTATGTACCTCTTCCACCACCTCTGATGTCTTCTTGGGTTCAGAAATCAGTAGGGCGTCCATTCCTCGCCTGCTGCTACTCCGGCTCCTGTCACCATAAGCCAGATTCACTTCCGGGGCATCAGTAACATGTGAGACAGGCTCATGTCCCAGCATGTGAGCGTCTACATTACGCATTGATGTGGAGGAGCCACGAGACATGGGGTTACTGAGTAAAGAGTGCGAGGAGCCCTGCCATGACCCCTGTGAGGCGCTGAGCCTGCTGTCTCTGGACCCATTCTCCTTTTGGGGGGTGTGACTGTGAGTCCCAAAGCTGTTCCTGGAAGGAGACACTTCTCTGCTGTTTCGTGCGTGAGTGTGCACAGCACTGTTGGCTACTGTCCTGTTTGATGAATGAGAGCCTTCATAGGACCTGAGTTGATTTGGAGAAGTTCGATGGGAGATGGACTCAAGGTTCTTGTACAGTTTCTCAGAGTCTAAACTGTGTTTGTGTGAAGACTGTGAAGGAGTCCTGGATCCTCGGCTGCTCCGGTTCGGTGCATCATAGTCACAGTTTTGTTCTTGATAGTTTGCTGTCCGATTGTGTGATGGAGTGGCAGACTGAGATCCAGATGGTCTTCTGCGTGAAGGACTGGAGCAGCGTGAAGAATGCCTGGAGGGAGCATGGGATGGAAGCTGTGATGGGACACGGGACCGTGACTGTCCCCTTGAGAGGGAACTCCCTCTTTGGTATCCTGCAGAAGATTCACTTAATTTGTGCCGGTCTGGGCTCACAGAGTTATGACGCGAGGGAGACGCTGTCTGTGAATCAGCCCCTCTTCTGAAATTTGAGTGATATGTGTACCTTTGAGGAGACTCACTTCTCCAGCTGTCCTGCATAAATGTTACAGAGTTCCTTCTTTGAGAGGGCATTCCTAGGTTAACAGTCCTGAAGGGAACACAGGCTTTGGGCTCTGGGACATAGTTACTAGGCAGAGGATGTCCTCTCTCAAAGTAACGGTATCGTTTTTTAGCACCTTCCTCAGTCTGACTGTTCTCTTTTCTGTCTGGAGAGAAGAAGCCACTCTCTCTTTCACGATTTCCAGTAGACTCTTACAAAAGCACATTCAGTCAATTAAAAACAGAACATTATATTTTCTTTACTTAAAGAAATATTTAATTAATATAATTAAAACATTTCTAACCTGATGGTCGTCGAGACCTGTCTCTTCCTCTTCTCTCATCCATCCAGGGGCTGTCAATGCTACGATGGGGGGAGGGGTCAAATCTGGTCATATCAGTGCTCCTCTCTGAGCTCCGAGATTTGCTCCTAAGAGAACTGTCCCAAGAGCCTGGAGACCTACTGACCAGCATACAGTACGTACAAATCATTCAATATTGGTAAGTTCTAACCACCAAAGATCAATATTAGAGCACAATGAAATAAATTATATTTAGTTCAACTACTGAATGTGTCAATGTGTTAAAAGGCCCATATTAGGCATTTCTCTGATCTATGTTGTATAATGTTGTTTCCTCTTCAGAAACATACCTTGAGCTGTGTTCTGTTTCACTCACACATGTTTAACACACACACCTTGCAGTTCTTCTCTCAAACTGAAAACACTCTGTTCCACTTTGTGATGTCATGTGGTAATGCAGGAGGTGCTCCACTATGTTTTTAAACTCCATACATGTTCACTGGAAGCATTTGGATCATTTCAGTCCTGGATTTGCCAATCTGAACTAAAGGTAAAAAATAGCAGCAAACTTGAAAACTACTGCTTCATGACATCACACGGTGGAACAGAGCATTTAAAGCTTTAGAGATGTAAACAGACATATTTTTGATGAGGTAACAAAATTATAACATGTCTTAAAAAGAGTAAATTCTGCATAATATAGGACCTTTAAAGGATAAAGGATAATAGATTAGCATCAACAAACCCACCATATCTATGATAAGATAAACACTTTTAACTAAGGCTTTACAGTGTCGTTCACAGATGACATAATGAACAAAGTCTTTCTAAGTAATTTGTCTGAGACGCGTTAGGAGAAGAATAACAGTAGCGCCTACAGTCACCTGGGTTGTATGTCAGTATCACAGATATTAAGTTCCCACTCAGGACTCAGGCTGTGGCCCAAGCTCCACTCATAGGTCCAAACGTCATCACTGCTTGCACTGGTCACCTCAGAAAGGTCACATTCATCATCATCATCATCATCATCATCACTGGCATCCTGGTTCAAAATACAGACAGAAAAATAAGTTGGGTTGTACATACGCTCTTATTAGGAAATTGATTTAAGCCATACAATACATAGACTTAGATAATATATTTTGAGGTGTTGATTTATAGATATGATTTAATATTAACTAGAGATATACCGACATTTGCGCTTTTTAGCAAATTGGCCTTAAATCTCCAGCACAGACTGATATTTTGTTTTGTCTGACCTGCTGCCTAAAGAGTCCACACAAAACTTTATTTGAACACTTTAATGTAAATAGAAAACTACTCAAAACGTGACTACACTTCTCTCTTGAAGATTTGTGGTAAAAAGGGACAGTAGATTAGATTAAATTAAGGCAAAATAATCAAAATCAGCCCTATATATACTGGCAGATCTTATCGACCATTGTTTTGATATTAACCACATGCAGTGAATGACTTTACCTTTAGGGATGCAATAATATAGATTATGCTGGTAACAGACTGAAACAACATAATCCATAGGTACAAGAAGAGAACAACAAAAGCACACTGGAACACATAATCAAAGCCACATTACACTGAAGATTGCACTTACCTCTTTCTAATGTTGAGGAACATCTTGACAAAGCTTTCTTCACCTGTTCCTTCCTTGGTTTGTCCTGTTCAGCTGGTGCTTCAAACTGCACAGGACGTAACTCAAGCTACACTCAGGTCACGCTCATCATTATTTCATTGCTCCAGTGCTTTTGCATTACCAGAACCGCCCACTCTGTTCTTTCCTCAAGTTTATCTGGAGCCCTCCTTCAGATCTCACTCTCGTTATACAGTGGATTACTAAATTGTGAATAATGACATAAAGATCTATGAACAACAATTACAATCTAAAATTATGTTGTCACGTTTGTTTGTTTTTTATATATTGATATTTCTGATAATGTTTTGGTTAAAAATATATTGGGCTTGTATTACTTGGGGGAATCAGATGCCTAATGTGTGAGGGGATGTTTTAAAGTGTCATCAGAGCATATCGCGTTACTCCGTATTCCCCAAGGACTGTAAGAAGCCTTCATTAATTTATAATGCTCAATAAAATGTAATTTCATTATTTTCCCACCCTCACTGCTATTCATTTGATTATTATTGTGTTAAATGCTCTAAGGCTTTGTTCGTAACATTTCAGATGTGAGGTCCAGCACCTGCTTGTCTCTGTGAATGTGTTATTGCTTTGCAGAATATTCCACAATACTCCATTCGTACAGGGAGCAGGATCACTGGCTTATCTCCATGCAAAGGGATGTGTTTTCAATGCCACAGTGTGGAGCATTGCAGTCAGAGAAAAATATCTCCATGGAGAAAAGCAAGTGGAATCCCCTTCACCAGAAAAGTTACATAGTGCACTTTAAATGTCAGACATACAATCACCTACTCTGACTGCATAAAATAATAATAGTCATATTGGCAAATGTCACTCTCATCTGCTCTTTTCACTAAAGCAGTGTGAAAATCTGTTCAGCTTGGATGCTTCCCTATTCCTAAAGAAAATTGTTTATCTTCTCCCCATACTTAGAATTTCCGTAAATGAAAATAAGGCACTAACCAGAGGTATCTCCTCCCGTGCAGCTTCTTTGGCAGCGCTGATGTTCAGGTGCATGTGGTCGGGCCGTAGACAGGTCTCGCACCGAGAGGGGTCAAAGGTGTTGGGCTGGAAACCGCGGCAGTAATAGTCTAAGGTAGGGGGCGCCATTTGAACATCTTGGACTTGAATAGCTGCTTGTGTCTCCTACAATTTTGATTCAACAAAATAATACATAATTAATTTTAATATTTAACAAAATAAAAACTAAAATAGATGAAAAAAACTCCCATGCTCCATCCTTCTCTCCACACAAAACAACACATAAACTACTAGGCAATCAAACCACAAAAATCACTCAAGTCTAATCTCGCCAAAATGTTCAAGAAAAACATCCACATCTACTCAAAATAAAATAAAACTATTTAATCAAATACATTTAAATTATGTAACTGTTGAGAGGCTTGAAATCGCCAGTGCATTGTTTCTAAAATTAGAGCACTCTGAGTCATGGATTCATGTCACTTTAAAGTTCAGGTCCCTCTCCTCAAGTGTCTCAGTGAAACACACACCTCTCCATTTATGGGATAGTTTTACAGCTCCAAGAAGAAAACCACCACGTTAAGGATAACCTTTACACACCAAGAAACGTGTGACGCCGAGTATCTGTGTCAAAGATCAAATAGTTCAACATGCAGCAGGCGATTTTACTGTACACCTACCTTCTATCAAAGGCCAGTTTTCCTTTTGTAGTCAATTTATTTCCAAGGGAGTTTGTTATGGGGAGCTCATTGTCCTAAATAGAATGGCTGGAGATGTCCAAATGATCGGACTGTCTACAGAGACCGGGGTCTTTCACTGGAAAAAAAAACATTCATTGGTTCTCACATAGAGCCAATATGGTGACAGAGCCCTATCAAATATCATTGTCTTTAGAAAGGGAAAGGTGGTGCTGAGTCCTTTTGACAGGTGTCTTATGGGCAGGGCTGGGCTACTACACAGATGGTGACTGAGAGGAGCGGTCTGACCACAGCACAGGGATTTGAATAGGCCTGTTACGATAACGAATTTTGAAGTGAGATATATTGTTGAAATGACTATAGATGAACCATGAAGCAGGATTATCCCCAAAAATGATTCTCTATGTACAGTATTGTTCAATATTATGAACAGCAGTAAATAAATGACAGAATGCAGCTCTTTGAGTTGTTAGTTTGTGCCTATAATGACTCATAGAAGTTCATAATTCAACCTTATACAGCTCAAATCTCCATCATAGTATAGAAAAATAACCATAAATTGTTCACTAGTACAAAGATCCCTACCATAAATATTGACCCTCAAAAATGATTGTTCCATCTAAGATAAATTGAATGATAAGTCGATATAGTAATTATCGTGACTGGCCAAGATCTGAATGTAAAAAAGTGAACTAAGGGGGAGATTTTTTGCATTTTTTAATGTAATGAGGTCATACTTGAGCTGAAGAGGTAGAATAAGTCATGCCTATCGCTAATTACTGGCTCATTCTGCTATTCATTTATTGCAGCTCAGGTCTTTTAATGCTGGTTTACTCAGACTATCCGGCTTTGTGTCAGTAGCATGAAGTAGTTTCAATATTATAGTTTATCGCAATTTCTCTCTATTAAAATATATATTTTTCTGTATATAAAATGTAGGAAGTATTAAGATAAAAACAACATTGAATGAGATGGTGTGTCCAAACTTTTGATTAGTAGCATATAAAGAAACTAGCCAGGTGGCACCACCTTGTGCCCTCGCTCAATTTCATTTCTCTCCAGTGACTAGGTCAGGAATCTGAATACACTAGACGATTCACAAAAACAATGATTCCAGAGATCGAGGATTTAAAGCCAGAATAACGAGAATGTTGAAATTAATGGAGTACGGATTCACATTTTAGTTGATAGTGGGGCTACTCTATCAGCATTTAACAATGAGAATGTGTGCAGTCCAACAAATGAGTATGTAGCTACAATGGGAGTTGCAGGAGTGCTGCTCTATGAACCGGTGTCAGAAACATCCCTACACTGAAATTTCAAAATGGCATCTTATTTTTTGCTAGTAACACTTTACACATTAGTATTTAGATCTGATTTTACTGCCACTGAATCACTGAAATTGTTTATGGTATACTTCACTTCTGTCCACCTCCAATATTTCAAAGGGTCTGTAGGCTAGACAGTTAGTAGATTTTATTTTGGGATTTATGTCTAAAGCTTGTGTTGATTGCTTTGTTGGACATCTTGAACACTTTCACTGGATCCTTAAACTCAAGAGTATAATTACAGTCATAGTGGACACAATTACAATTAAGGCAAGATATTCTTGTGCTGTGTGCCACATACACACACTAAAGCTGCTTAAACTGCTCTCACATTCAAAAATAAAACCTGTATCCTTAGCAACGCAGATAGAAAAAGTTAAGACACAAAAAAACGTCTGAACTAACTGTTAGAAAATAGCTGACTTTATTGACCCAGCCCATCTAACTCTGATCGTACCGTTTGCACAGACAAACATTGATCCTTTCTACTCCATCTGAACCCTGTGACCAGTTCGAAACCACACTTGTTTAGGGGCCCGTATTACGCTACTTTCAGATCAATGTTATAATGTTGTTTCCTCATCAAAAACATACCTGGAGTTTTGTTTTGTTTCATTCACACATGTTTAATCTACAAATCCTGCATATTTAAGCTGAGTTCTTCTCTCAAACCTCTTGTGATGTCATGTGGTAATACACAAAGTGCTCCTCTGTGTTTTTAAACTCCACACATCTTCACTAGAACCATTTGGATCATTTCAGACCTGGACTTGCCAGTCTCTGCTGAACAAAAGATAAAAGGTAGCTGTTAACTTGAAAACTACCACTATGACATCACAAGGAGCATCTTGAGCTTTGAAGATATAGACAGACTAATAATAAAGGGTTACTTAAACACATTGTAACACAGCTAAAATCTTACAAGAATCAATTTTGTGTAATATTGGACCATTAAAGATCATTTAGTGAACTATAAAAGCATTGAGTGTGAGTGCTTGCCCACCCCTCCCCCTGCACTCACGGGTCCACTTTTCTAAAAACACATTGACCTGGATCTGCTGTCAAAGAGGCAGCCACTGCAGAGCTCCCATGACAGAGTCGTCTAAAGGACAACTGGGACTTCAGGAAATAGCCTCTCTTGTCATAAGCTTATCACACTGAAAACACATAGGGGAAAATAATGATGATGCTTAGAGAGGTGGTTTCTATAATAGGATCTTCTCATGCCATTAAAAGTTTAAGATAGAACAGTTCTGAATTGGACATGGATTAGTAGATATACACAGAGTGAATCTTGGAACCTGGCCTAATATTATGGCCAGACCAATCACAGGTCATGTTGTTATATAAAACTAATTTCTATAGGAGCCAACTGCCACTGTCAACTGAGTCTATTGCATCCATAGACTGTACATATCAATGGACATAGCCTACCTGCTAGTCGCTGCGTCAGCATCAGACCATCGTCCCATGCTGGTCTTCTGAGGAACCCTGACCACTGCAGAACATAAACACAACAATACCATTTTTTGTCATCTATTATAGGTTTGTAAAGTCTATACAATAATAGTCATAGTATAGTACTATAGTATCACATTAGACATACTGAACGCCAACACTTTAGGCTCTGGCCTTTATCCATCACTCTGCAGTGTTGGTTCCAGCCCACTCTTTCATATTGCATACCCACTTTACTGCCACTGACCCACATGCATCCACTCTGCTCAGAGCACGAGCCACCACCTCCACAATCCAACTGACACTTGTTGTCTCATTATATCACATAAATAAGGTGTGTTAAAAATAAACTGTGTGGTCATAGAGATGGTAGATTTCAGAGAGCAGAAATAGGCAAATCAGGTTTCCTTGGAAACTAACAAGTTGCTTCAAAAACCTTTTAAAAGTCTGAAACAAGACACAAAAGTGCCAACATTGCATGTCTACAACATTTACATTTGAAAATTAAGAATTTTTCCAGAGTGTTGGTTTGCATTGTTGGTTTTGCTTAAATGTTTGTCAGAAAAACAAGAATCTCAATCAATAGTATCTCAACAACATGTTCATCCAGCAATTTGAGCTCCTTAGAAAGAGTTAAATTAACTGGGTTAACTATGGATTTGCATGAAGTTGGGTAAAAAAAAAGTCCTAAAAAAACTTTCCTTGTAGCACAAAACAAAACCTAAAAATGCTGAAAGACTGATGCTTTAAAATCTCAGAACTAAACAATAGGCCATTCTGTAAACAGAAGCATAATCAGAGCTCTCCCTCTCTCTCTTACAGATACAGTCTGTGTGTGTTTGTGCGTCTCCCACTCACACAGAGCGGTTCCCCGCTGCACTATGGACACAGCTCACTGTCGAGATCAGGGCAATGCTCTACGATGCATTTCATAAGAGCACATTTGGAAGACTTTTGAATGAATGAAAATAATGAATAATCCAAAGTGAAGAGATGAAATTTGCAAAACTCTTTTATTTTGGAGGATGTTACAGTTTACAGGAGGCAGCTGATACTAAAGCAGGTGAGTCCTGATTTTTTTTGTGTTCTCTAACACCCACTATTCATGCTCATAATTTTTTTATGTAAAATGTATTTTTGTTCCTTAAAACATTATAAAACAATACACATGTGTTTGTTCCTACTATATTGTTATTATATTATATACTATACTGCTACTTATTACTACATTATTTATACAGTATATACACAAAAAAGTAATTAAAATACTTTTAAAGTGACAGGTGTTTAGCAGACTTAAGCAAGTTTGAAGGTTAGAATACACCCCCTCCCCCCTGTGGTTAATTAGTCCTCTGGACTTTTGGATTGATTTTCAGCACTGGACAGCTCCTGTGAAGCCCATTCAAATGAACCTACGTCATGGCAGCCATAATGTTCAAACTACAACTGTCATAACATCAGCTCACACTGTCTGAACTATTGATCTATACAGTAATCAGTGTTTCACTGATGATACTAGGACAGATTTTAATGAGGCTAAATACAATATTTATAGCTGTATGATATTTATGGTAAACAAATTCTGTATTGTAAAATATAATCATATTTAATTAACTAAAAACACCATCAGTTATATCTAAACTGAACCACTTGGTGAATTATACCTATTTTTGCAGTATGTAGGTTTGAGATGCTGCATACTCCTCTGGGATGTGGGTTTGTTTCACAGAAGGAACTTTTTTGTTAAGATAGGCAGATAGCAAGTTCTCCATCTAATAATAACTCTGCTGCACAAAGTAGCCTATAGAGTCGAGATTATATTGTGTGATGCCTTGGTCTGAGTACAAATCCTTCACCCTTGAGTAAATGTCATTACATGGTCCACTTGTGATGTCATAATCTCTTTATAATAATCTGCATTTATTCTAAGTGTCTAACATGGGTTCTGAACATATATTTACAGGTTACATTTATTTACTCCATATTTTGTGTGTTTGTAATCATTTTAGTTTTTATTCTACTTTTGTGTTTTGTATTCTTGTCTAGAGCAGAATGAGTATCTGTACTGAAGGTCTAAAGTCTAAAGCCACCTTCATATTGTTGTTAGTATAGAGGGATTAAAGGGCATTGTAATCTTGTCTCTATCAGGGGCTCCTTTCGACATTTCTCTGCATGGGATTATTTTCTGTACTTCTCTGACGCACTGGGACACATTGGTTTCCCCTTTGGCCTATTGGATAATACCTCCTGGTTTGTGAAAAATACCTGAATCAGCAGGTTTAAGCCTATGACAGATGACAATGTGACTGGATTATTCTTGGTTCTTGTTAGAAGAGAAAGCAGAGTTATACCACTCTTGAAAGCCAAAAGAAGGTTAATTTTTGTCATCTGGACAAAGTCTTTAATACGAATACATTTTGCCACTCATTCAAGTAGCTTCTACAGTTGAATGAACTATGGATGTATCTGGAAAACTGAAAGATCACACAGACAATACAACTGACATACACTCACCATTCACACACAGCAGGCATTAAAGCCATTGTGTTGCTTCTTTCTCGTGCTTCTTCTGAAAACAATTAACATAATATTATAATATCAAGACTTTGATGACAGAGTTCTCCAGCTTTAGTCTTTTATGATGTCACCATGAGTTTGACCTGGGTGACCACACAGGCTAAAATCTAAAGTAAGAAAAGCCCATTGGTCCTACAGCTGGGCAGCTCTTATGGTAATGTATGGGATGTAAAATTCACCCTTTTTAAAGATTTTCTGGTAGAAAATGGCTCTTTGCTAGTCAATCAGTGGTGACTTTATCTGTCCTTGGTGTAACAGGAAGGGAGCGTCACATCATCTCTGTGTGCGTGTGGGTGCTGACTTGTAGGAAACTTTTTTGTTACTCTAAAGTGCAGTTGTCAAACACGGTCCATCAATGCACTACATGTCACGTCAGCTATTGAGTGAATTGCATGCATAAAGTAAACACAGATGCCCTTTGCATAGCGTGTGGTGGCCCTGCAAAGGTTATGTAACAAAATGCTTTTTAGTTCTCATGGTTGGCAGCTTGCTGACATAAGCCATGCAAAATCACCCTCCAAGCTTGTCACCAGGCCAAATAACAGATCAATTGTTCCTAACAGTAGATAACCACTGATTCATTTCTTTTTAGACCTCTGCCCTGCCCCTGCCTGTCTGGTTTTTCAGAGGTCCTCTTCATCACACAAAAGTGTTTTGACGAATAATGACACAATCGATGACGTAAAATGTCTACAATATATTCATTCATATTTGTTTTCCTTCATTTCAGAAAATGTAACATCTTGAAGCCCTCTTTCATGAAAACAGTCCTCACTGAGCCCTTGCTGCCTCTGAGTCCAGCTCCAGTTCTTTCATGGTTGGAACTGTCCGGCTCATGATCACTGGTGCCATGGGAGCGGTGCGGGTCAACAGGTACTATTGCAAACTCAAACTGAATTAGTAACATTGCATGCTTTTGGGTTAAATAGACATTTAAATGTTTTACAGATACAGCATTGTAGCCACAGATGAAGACGCTGTACAGATTTCGACCCTGGGGCTTTACAATGGCCACAGTCCTGTGACTCAGCACACACTGACAGAGGGCTGTGTGGCTGCTGTGGATGGGGAGGATGGAGGCGACTGTTCAGACACTGAAGAGCCCCGTGGCGCTCTGTCTCTTAGGGTACCAAATGAGCCAGTGTCCCACAGCTGTCGGGGCTCCCCCTCATGTCGCCTGGGCCTGGATCTCAGCACCGGACGCCTCCGCAGCAGATTTGTGAAGAAAAATGGACAGTGCAACGTGGTGTTTAACAACATGGAAGACAAGCCCAGACGATACTTGGCAGACATTTTCACCACATGTGTGGACATACGCTGGCGATACCTGCTGCTCATCTTCACCACCACCTTCCTCTTGTCATGGCTGCTGTTCGGGCTGGTCTTCTGGGGTGTGTCCTTGGCTCATGGGGACTTTGACCTTCACCTCCCACTGAAGGACGGGGACAGTTCGGAGCAGGTGCAGCAAGAGTGGAGGCCATGTATCCTCCACATACAGGGCTTTGTTGGGGCTTTCCTTTTCTCCATTGAGACCCAGACCACTATTGGCTACGGTTTCCGCTGTGTGACTGAGGAGTGCCCCATCGCTGTAGTGACTGTTGTAATTCAGTCCATTATAGGCTGTATTATAGACTCCTTTATGATAGGCACCATCATGGCCAAAATGGTGCGGCCTAAGAAGCGAGCACAGACCTTGCTATTCTCACATCATGCTGTGATTGCTCTGAGGGATGGTAAATTCTGCCTCATGTGGCGTTTGGGAAACATGAGAAAGAGCCACATCGTGGAGGCTCATGTCCGAGCACAGCTCATCAGGCCCCACGTCACCGCAGAGGGGGAGTACCTCCCACTGGAGCAAACAGACATTGATGTAGGATATGATGAAGGGCTTGATCGATTGTTTCTAGTTTCACCTCTGGTGGTGGTCCATGAAATCAACAAGAGTAGTCCTTTGTACAATTTTAGCTGTTCTGATCTGCAGAAGCAGGACTTTGAGATTGTGGTCATTCTGGAGGGCATGGTGGAGGCCACAGCTATGACCACTCAAGCCCGAAGCTCCTATTTGGCCAAAGAGATCCTGTGGGGTCATCGATTTGAGCCTGTGGTCTTTGAGAAAGGTGACCGCTATCACGTGGACTACTCTCGCTTTCACAAGACGTATGAAGTGCCCTCTACGCCCCAATGCAGTGCTAGGGAGCTGAGCCGGAGAAGAGGCCGGGCCAGCCAGTCTTCCTCCTCCTCTTCCAGCTGCTCACACACACATTCACCTTTTGCCCCAAAGGCAGCGCGCCGCCTGCTGGGCACGCACTCCCCCAGCGCCTTCTGCTATGAGAACGAGGTGGCTCTGTGCTCTGGGGACGATGACGAGGATCCAGATGTAAAAGAGAGAGGAATCCTGAGAGACAAGCTCCGGCCGGTCTGTAAGGATACAGTACTGCAGCAGCAGACAGTGGAGATGCTGTGCATGCTGGACTCAGATAATCAGATGAGTATCGGCCGACTGCAGCCCACTCTGCCTTTATACATTAGCAGAGAGTCTGGAGTTTAAGTCAATCAATGGCTATGCACAGGAAATCCTGTTTTCCCTCTTTTTGCCTGAGTTCAGCCAGCACAGTATTGAACGTGTGTAAAAATAAAACAGACAACAGCTGTCAGAGATTTCTCTGTAGACCAAAACTCAACTTTTTTCATCTTATCTTGAGGTTTATTTGAATAAGCAGTCTTTTCAGTTCATCTATTTTATTTATGTAAATGCAACCTATTATTTTTATTCAACAATCTGTAAAAGTAATTAAATTAAGTTCTATATACAACTTATGCAAAGGTTCTCTTATTGCAGTGAACAAAGCCACACTGAGAAGTAGCTCTTGTATAAAGGACTTTAATCCAAACATCAATGTTTATTCAGATTGTGATTTTATATGCACAAAGACACTAATAAAAACTTAAAGTATGAAATGAAAGCTGTGTTGTTGTTACAGAAGTATTATAGTTGTATATTGTCCTTCGATTAGTCATTCAGTTATAATAAAGCAAGAGAAATCATTGCCTTGGTACCCTATGGGAAAAGTGAATCAAATTCTACTCAAAAACATAGTTTAATTCTGCATAAATACTACGGTGCAGTATTTTTAGGGCAAATATTCATTTTCAAAGAAAGAATATTTTTTATTATTATTTAAATGGCATTTAGTTAATCAGGACAGTCCCTCTGAGATTAAGAACCTCATAGCAGTCTTGCCCCTAAAGGGCATTCAGCCAAGAACAACACATATATCTTTAGTATGCCAATTTAAACCCTTTAATCAGTAAATTTCCAGTCTGTTTTTACATTATTTTAGACATTTTCTATTGTGAGACTCACCATAGAATTGCTATAGAATCCACTATCTCTCTAGTTGAATTAAACTTTACTTAGCTCTTCATGTTTGTCATGTAGGCTTCTACTATGGTACAAGCGCCCTCGTGTGGTCAGGCTGAAAAACTACAACCCAGTGTAGTTGGGTTACTGAGGTACTGAGTTTGTTCTAGAGGTGTCTTTGGACCTTCCAGCAATTCACAGAATTACTCTAATGGTACTAATGTCGACATTGATTTACCCAGTCTACAAATAACATTTGAAATCTGGAAAATGTACAAAAAAGATTTTTTAAAGAAAAAAGCAGAAAGGTCTATAGCTACTGTACAAATAAACTGGGCACCAGCAGCTCTGGAGGCAATTTTCCACAAAGTTGACTGTTCAGTTCTGGGTTGGCACATTTGATATTATATTCTGTATTGCCTGCTATGTCTTTAGCCACCTTGGCTAAATGTGTGATTGAATTAATTATAGGAATAAAGACAAGGGCTAAGCAATTAAATTAATTAATTCGATTTTTCAGGCCTGTTTAACATTCCCATTTTTGTTACAAATCTTTATTAATTATACTAGTCAGAATCTGATCTGCTAATCAGAAATGCGTTCAAATACCAGCGCCCTCTTAAGCTTTATGATGCTGCTTAATTTAGTAAGTGGTCACACCCCCTGTCATCGAGCACATGAGGCCGAGCAGCTGGCTGACCCCCCTGACCTCAGTTAAGGCTGCTAATGGGCTGCTAAGGATGGAGGCTAATAAGGTGCTGTGTGTACTTCCCTTCATGTGCTACTGTGCTTTTAAGTCTATGTGCTGGGGCCCGGGGCCGTGCGAGCAGAGCTTGGGACAGTGGTGTGGCTCAGCGGGGGACAGTGGTTAGGCACAGGGGGGCTGTGACTCCATAATGAGGGTGTTGTGTCGCTGTGGAGATGTGGAGCGTCTCACTGAACGGACAGTGGGGCATTGTGTGGCACAAGTTAGAGACAGAGCAGAGGAGGATTTATGGACCACGCCTGGGAAGCACCACGAGCCAAATCATCCTTGGACATTCTGCTCATACGTTTATGTCTTTGTACAGATTGAATAAGAAAAACAAAACAATCTATCCTATACCAGACTTTCAGTTTGAGAGACCAGCGTTCACTTCACAGATTTACAAGCGTGATATGAACAGCAAAGTAAGACTCAGGGAAGCTTACACAATGGTGTTTTAGCCCAATAATGTTTCTATATCCAGTCTTTTTCTTTTATTCCTAAAACTAAAATATCAGAACACAACTCTAGTTAGTTGCACGGTGAGCCATTGTTATCTAACTTTAAACTAGGACTGCATAATGTATTGCAAAACCCCCCCCAAAAAAACATGTGAATGAAAGAAAGCAAAAAATCTGGTATATTTCTGATTTATCTGGTATATTGCTGATTTTATCAGCTCTTTAACCAGCAAATTGTTGGTAAGTAAATATAAATGATAAATGAACAATATTGTTCAATATTGTTGAGCTGCAATAAATAAATAGCAGAATGCCACACTTAAGTTATTTGTTTATAATGTTAGTTCATAATTCAACATTCTTCAGCTCAAATCTTATCATATTGCAGAAAAAATAACCAAAAATATCCCAATAAGATAAATATTGATCCCCAAAATATGTATTAAATCTTTTATATATTATTATATAAATAATATATTATATAGATCTAATGTGACTCCTGACTCTCTGCACAAAATCCTGCACTGTCCTCACAATAAAGCAACTTTAGCCAAAAATGCAATTACGTAGTTTTTTTTTTTTTTTATCTGATGGCCTTCCTGCCACCTGACTCCACATCCAGTCTTGGGGCAGATAGCTTGTGACCCCTGACGCTGGGTAAAAACTAGAGCATGACACAAATGAAGAGTTAAAAGTAAAACTGCACCAAACAACTTTTGAATTAGAATCCAGAAGTCACATGCACTAAAATTCAGCCTAACACATTGCATTAAATCTTATCCCTGGTTACATTTACACTTTCACACGCACTTGGTTATATTCCTTTTTATTCTCTAAAGCTGTGCACACACACCAGATAAAATTTTAGTCTAAATTGAGACTAAACCTGGAACTATACTAGTATTAGACTAGCAAACTTTATTGATCCATATGGGAAATTATATAGTAGCTCTGACATCACAATAAATATAATAACAAAGAGAAACAATATAAATGGTAATAATAGATTCTAAATAAGTAGCAAAAATATCAAGAGAGTGGTGTCAAATAAGGCATAATTGCGGAAAAAAATAAAAATATAGAAATCTAATAAATGTATCTCGTCTATATACAAGAGGCCGTAAGGACAGTGCAAAGATGAACTAGTGAGTGACAGGATACAGGGTGATCTGTTACATAAAAGTGAGTAGTTGTACAGTTGTATGGAGTATGGTATAAATCTAGTCTTGTATCTGGAGCCTGTTTGACTTGGACTAAAACAAGATGAGAACAGGACAAAACCATCACATCAAAACTGGGATTAAACATGATCAAAACAGGACCCAGGATGCCTTGCTGTGCCTAATCAGTTTAGCTCTTTGTTATTGTGAGAGTGTGTCCAAATAGATTGATGTAATTCTTCCATATTATATTATCTATAATGTAATCTAATGAACTGTCTTATCAATATTCCTATTTCAATTCATATTTTATGCTCAATAGATTTTCAAATATATACAACTTTATGAATCTATTATTGGACTGACATTACAAACATTTACAGTAGGAATGTAACAATAACCAAAATATCGTGAGATTGTCGTAATTGTGGTCACAATGTATATAGAATTATAAGATTTTTGTATTTAAATGTATTGATTTATTGCAGCAACAGCTAAAAAAAATGGAGGAAACTACACAGACTGTGATCTTTTGTTCCATTTCAATGCAGAAAACATGAAGAAATAACAGTTATAAATAATTCTTCAGACTGTAACACTAATATATTCCCAAAGGCTTGTCAAGGCTTTTAAAAAAAAGAAAAAGAGGCATTTCTTCAATTCTGTTAGCATCTCCACAATATCACAGTAATATTGGATTGTGAAATGAATATTGGAATTGTATCATACCGTGTGATTTATTTACCATTACATGCCTAATTTATAGTCATAACTTTTGTTTTTGTTTTACATGAACTTGATCTGTGTAACCAAAACTGAAACTATTTACTCACAATATTCGACTAAGCTACAGATTTTAGTATGGGAGAATGAAACATGGGCATGAAGTTATAAATCAGAATATTTCTCACTCTCCTCTGCCCAAATCTCATCCATCTTTGTGTCTTGCCTTTTATCTCCATGTCTGCGCAGTCAACAACAGCCTCTTTCATGTAACCATCTCGTCCTCTGGCCCTCAGGCTGGCTCCGTCACTCGCCTCTCTCCTTCACACGCACTAATTAAATGTTCTCCACAAAACTCATGATTGCAGACTTTCTCTTGCTTTCTCTGGGCCGCCCTTCCTGCTGAATACAAAACGTAATGTTGAAACTGTGATTGTCCCTGGTGGAATTTCAAAGATTTTAATCAAGGCGACAATGTGTTTGTTTTCCGGGAATATGACTTTATTTATTTGTGGTTTCACATCAGTTTGAATCAGATAAATACAAAGCAGAGATTGTGAAATAAGATAAGTCACAGGGTTTTGTATATTTGCATTACTGAAGCTTCTCTATTACAAATGACTAAGAAAAGGCTGTTTTACTTTAGTATTTCTTAGGTGAAAGGTGCATTGTGTAACTTTTATGGTGAAGGGTCTATCATCAGATTTTTTTCCATGAAGATTTTATTGCTTTGCCTGAAATGTTCCACAGTAGCATTAAACTTATTTATCTTGCATTTATTCAATTACAGGTATCTTTATTCCTTAAAAAAAACAAGAGCAGGGTCCGTTTTTTGGTCTCCATGCATAGATACGTTTGATGCAATACTGTGGAGCATTCTGGACAAAGCAACATCTCCATGGAGACAAGAAAGTAATGGACTCTCCACCAGAAAAGTTACGCAGTGCACCTTTAACTTTACATTTTCATTTTTGTGAAAATAATAGGCCACGTTGTTACTATTGTAGTGGTATCAGTGGTTAGTGGTGGGCCTAAATTGTTAATTAACTTAACTCAAGTGATTCTTCTTTTATTAGTATAGGTGATTTTTATTTTCAT